CTATTACGCTGCGTGCAGAGTCTAATTATAAACTACGAGAAGACGAAACTCTCATTTAAGAAGTGAAGTCGAACAAAGGCAAAGGGTAGGGCACTATAGAAGGGGATCATATAAAAGCACGATCTATTTCACAACGCCTTTAACTTTTGTTCTTCAACTGTTGCCCTTTGTGCATTTCAAAAATAAAATATCTTAATCTGATTTGTTCCACCTTTCTTTTCGCTCAGTTCTGCAATATTATGTCCATATGTTGTTTAGGATTATGTCATTTGCGAAATAGCTGTAAGACATTATGAGAATGAATATGGGAGTTTCCACGATAATGTTGTTCACATGATTTTATACACATACCTGCATAACAATCAGAGACAGAAGTCTTAATATTGTCCAATAAAAAATAAGAATCTAACATTTAATGATAACAAAAGGATTAATTGCTTAGTTCTCTTTGTTTTAGTCTTTGTTTTCTTAAATGCGGAAGTGTACCAACATCACCTAGATTACATAAGAGATCATCTAACAGTCTAAAATTGCTTTTAATTGCAAGTTAATGCATTCCGACCAAAATTTGTATACCTGTAATTGGGGGGGGGGGGGCGATGTTACATCACATAACCACAACGTTCATATAGAAATATACAATAAGCATGTCCGTATAAAAGCTAAAATTATAAAAACTCATTTCATGGAAGCCTCAAGTTATGAAAAACAATGCTAAACACTCAAACAAATCGACTTGATTACCTTTGAAAACTTCTTGAGAGGAAATGGACAAGTGTATTTTTCTAACTCATTAGAACGTCTGTCTGATTGAAATACTATTTTTTAAATACAAACATAAATGATTTAATCTTGGTCAGAAGTCTGAACATTGTCCAACAAAATAATAAGAATCTAACATTTAATGATTACAAAAGGATTAATTGCTATATAGTCTTTGTCTTAGTCTTTGTTTTTCTAACGGCGGAAGTGTACCAACATCACCTTGATTACAGAAGAGATCATCTAACAGTCTAAAATTGCTTTTAATTCCCGGGTTTTAATTACATTTTATGTATAGACTTTTTTGCCTCTATTCTCATTTTTAAACCTGTTTCTGTTTGCTTATTTAACAATTGTGATAAATTATTCAGTTAGTGTCGAAATCAAAACAATTTTCTACATTATAGTCCCCTCCTCTTTCACTGACTAAATATTAAAATAAGCCAGTCTGATTGCGAATTTACAAATCCTGTAAAAGTAGCTCCAAACCGCTTTTTAATCAGAGAAAACAATAAGTTAATTCATCTGATTGCGAAAATACGAATCAACCTGATTATCTGATCTCCATGCTATTTGATTCGTGCATTATCTACAAGTCAGTCGGGCAAGGGTGAAATTATTTCATTTGAAAACAGAAATAAATATCAGAACCCCTCTAGCATAACTATTCGGAAGAAATTCATACAAAAAATAAGGTACACAACTGATGAAGGGTCGCACACAATGCACGCACCCCTCTCCTCCTCCTCCGTGTTTGCCCACACACGACCATATTTGACAATTTTTCTAAAAGCGTTTTCCCCGGGAATATAGGTGTAGCGGTTGCCAGAAGTCGCACAGCTTGGGAGTCAGGGTATCCTGATCCATGCCTCAATGCCTGACGGGTCTGATATTTAGAGGGGGCGCAAGAATTATTAGGGGGCGGGGTAAACGTGAAAGTTGCCAAAATATCCATAGGCGTAGCCAGGAGGGGGGGGGGTGCGATATCAATAGGCGTTATATATGCTTTAATGTTTTATTTATCATGATGCTTTTATGTAGGCTATTAATTACAGTTCTTTTTGCAATATAAAACTGGTATGCTTATGCAAATTCCGATTGGACTAATATAAAGGGATATTGTTTCATTATGTGGACTTGAGAAAGTCCGACATACTCATTGCTTTCAACCCAAAACTTAAAATAGGAAGTTATCAAGATCCCAAGAACACGATCGCTACTTAAACAATACGTTTGTAAAATCCCGGCGATCGAAATGCAATCAAACTTTCGCAATCAGGTGCCTAATTAGTCTTTTGATCTCTAAAGTTTTACGACTGAACGTTTCAATGAACTCGTGAGAAGCAAACGCAATCATCATATAAACATTTTTCTAGTAAATCTAAAATAGAGTAAAACCCAGGGAAAAAGATCGCGTGTTCATAGGAATTAGGCATATTTCAATTTTGAAATAACAAAAGTCAGTCTCGGAAGAATTTTCCAAGCATTTCCTGCTTCGATGCGTTTTTATTGCAAGGGCCGTTTAGCGCCGATATGAATTCATTATAGGGCATTAGGGTTGTGCTTTATTTGTTTTATTTATATAAATGTTATAAAATGTGTACGCCACTTTAATGAATTATTTTTAGGGTGACAATGCATATTTGATTTTTCCCTCTAAACGTTTAAAATTCATCTTTATACTTTTCTTAGTTTGCTTCAATAAAATCAACATTGGATTCCAGACAGTTATCAAATTCTCAGACATTTGATTAACAGATATTTGTACTTCCTTTGACCAGTGGTGCTGGTGTGACTGAGATTCGAATCTAATCTGTTTCATTTTTATGTAAATTGAGAGGAATAAAGTTTTATTTTAAGCGTTTTAACAATCTTAACGTTTGGCGTGCAGCTCAACTAAATACACAATCAAAGGTCAAATACAGAAATAAGAACATGCCTTTTATTTGTTTTTCAAGCTCGAGCAATATCCCCGTTATAAAACCAAAATAACTGCGGTTAGGTACCATATCTTGATTACAGTAAAGACAGGCCATCTCATTCTGGTATGCCAGAGCCACTCTTATCTGCCGATTGTGGAAGGATAAAGACAAAGGGGTCGCGGCTATCGCGATGAGGCCGTCTTATTTCTAGGAATTATTTCTGCCTCTCATTCCTAAAACCGGCTTCGTTAAACAGTGCCAAAATATATAAGTCGGAGCCAAAAACAAGACTATTTTTATATTTAAATCCCCTCACCTTGTCAATGTCTATGCCTGCATCTGGTTTTCCCACCTTTGGGAGGGAGCCAATATACACATAGATTACTTACTGGCCATGGACAGGGGGGGGGGGCACAGAAACGAATATTCTGGGGTCATAAGGGATACTTGGGGAAGGGGAGGGGTGGTGGTTAATAGTGAAGTCCGGGAGTGAAGTTAAGGGGTACTGAAATCTTTCTTTTGATATTTAGTGCTTGAATGGAGACTTGTTTCCACTCCCCGCATTCTAGTAGAATTTAAATATTTGATCCAAAGGAGTTATTTTAAATCAAACTTGCATTCCGAGTAATTAACACTCCAAGGATTGTACCGCTTCACTATTGTCTAAGATAATTATAATGAATTCACGGGACACTATAGTCTTCCTTTTAAACTTTAGTGGTTGGATGGAGACTTGTTTCCCCACCCCGTACACTAGTAAATTTGTAAATTTTAAATATTTGATTTAGGGAGGTATTTGCAATCCAACTCTGATGATGCAAGACTAGTCAGCCAAGACTAAATTATGAACTTATTATCATTTAGACTATTGAGTTCATTAAATTATAATTCCATAGATATCATATTTAATCCTGTCAACACAATAATGGTATTAATTGGCATGATATGTAGTCAGAGACGGTTTAAAAAGTTGTTTAGATTAATGATAGTATTAGGAAAAATCCTAACTCAAAGTTTTTGTTCTCTCGCAATACAGAGCAAACCACTCGCCGGGCAAGCATTCTTTAAAAACGTGAAGTTTTCACCATGTTGAGCAGTTTTGAAAATTGTCCAATTTGAACCATCGCCTTGTATATTTCTGTAACTGCCCCCCCCCCTCTTGACACTCGAGTGTAAGAATCATTTCCACACTGTCAATGGTTTTACAAAATAGTTCATGTCAGGAAGGGGGAGGGGTGAGTGTGGAGAACAATCACTGACTGCGATTTGTATGATTGAACATTATACACTTATCATCAATTCGTAAAGAATAGTTTTAAAATAAACAGCTTGTTTTATGTTATGATTGGAGTGATGTATGCATAGAAGAATGACACTGGTTTTGAAATATCTTAATTATCCCATTGAATGGAGCCATCCGTCCCTCTGTCCATTCTTAACTCATACTAGTGGACTGATTTGATTTAAAGGAGAAGTCTCGGTGTAGAACGTGTACACACTAATGGGAACGAATTTCACTCATTTCTATTTAGGATTCGTTCATATACTAGCGGGGCTTTAGAGCATTTACAAACGCACGAATTGTATTGTTTTAAGGCAACTTTTATGATATATAATCATTGTATTTAAAGCTGATTAATTTTAGATAATATTCGGTTCAATTTTACAAATAATGAATAGTATACAGTATATCGAAAAATGTACAATGATTTACATTAAATTGCGCAGACTGCAAACAATGTACATGGTTGGCGAATTTGCATGCGCGTTCTTGATAATAAGAATTAAAGGTTGAACTTAAAAATCAAACATTTTCTTTTTTAAACATAATAAATCTTTAAATCAAGAAAATAAAAATAAGATTGATGATTGAACTTTTCATAGTCAACTGCGACTGTGTCGACGCATGTTTATTTACTTAGCTAATTAGAGATGTAAAATTGTTAATGGCCGCAACGGATAATACGTACATGTAAGCTGTTCGGATAAGACATTTCTATATGATTAATAACAAATCCCGGGCAGAATATTATTCAACAGTACCTGATCTTATCAGTTATTATTCAATTTGGATAATAAATCTATTATCTCGTCGTATTGATGTTTATTATATAGTGTTTCTCGTTGTGAAGAATATAGACGAATGATATTAAAATATTTCAGGCTAGCCAACACAACAAAACACGAAGTAAACTAACTAAAAAAAGGTTAAATTAAATATAATTCTAATTACACAATTGCTAAAGCTAGCAGTGAATGAAATCAAACTATTCTGAAAGAAACATAACTAAAAGAAACATAACTATTCGTACTTACATTTAACTAAAGCAAGACGCTTAACTATTTCCGTACAAACTAAACTTCCAAGGTCCCCTTACACTTAAACACTGTATAACTTTGTGTATTAGCTTTTGTCAAAATCCGAACAATATCAGCTTTAAATTCCACAATAATATAGCCACAAAGCTGTTTTAACAAAATTTCTTATAAGCTGCTTAACTAATACAAAATCCTTTTAAAGTTCAAATACTAGTAATGCAAATGGTTTATGTTTTCCAAGTGAATGGTTACAAATTATGGGTGGGTTATAAATACACTTAGTGATCTTATTACTGGTTGTGTCATGCCATAGAGGGGGCTGAATCAGCCAAGTATAAAGGGGCGTCCTCGTGTCAACTTTACTCTAAATCTGCACAATAATTGCGTTATTATGTTTTTATAAACATTTAGGTGATTTTAAAATACAGGAGATTATAACTTCACGTTTTTAATCTTTGCATTCGACTTACTCTCTTAAAAGGGATAGTTTCGTCTTCATTATCCAGTACAAGAGAAACCTCTCTGAACTGTGGAATTGTCTAAACTATTCAGAGTTTAGAAGTAAACCCAGGGTTCAAGGCGGAATTTGTCAGTCTAACCAAGAATAATCTGAAATCTACAAGTTAGTATTTTCAAACATATTCTTTCGGAAACAAATCCACGTTTTTCGATGACTTGGCTTTTAGCTACGTGTGCTTTAGGCTATATAGTGGTAATTCTGACTAGGGTAGCATCTCATAGGTTGTTTGGATCAAAATATATCGCTCTTCTTCACCATTGCTCCTCGAGGAGTATACCGATGCAAATGTATTTTGCGAAATACGAATCAAAACTGAGTAGACCTATGACTGATTTTAGAACCCTTCATTCAAAGGTCTTCATTTATTAATTCCTTGGGTGTTCTCATGCCTTATACGTTACTGTTACCTCCATATACTAAAACCTGTTTTTTTCGGTCACGATAATTACAAATAATGCATAAAAGAAAAAAATCTAATGGACATTTAAATCTTTGTGTGTTATAGGTTAGACCGGTCAATATGTTAATAACATATCTATGTGTTTTGTGTTGTTCCTCTGCTCTCAAGGGATGTATACATCCCTGCGTGTCATAAGGTAATTTACAACTTATTCTTATACAGTGTAATTAAAGATGATGAAAACCGACAGGTTTTTAATGACATAGTAGCCAGTTGTCATAATGGCTAATCAAGACGCTAGTGCATGTGAAACAGATAAAGCAGGGGATGAAAATACACCGGGTGATTGGTCAAGAGGAACGTCGCTAATTATCTATTTTTAACATGCTAAAAGCATGACATTTCAACATTCATATACTTTCAGTCGACTGGCAAAAGTTCTAACTTCAGAAAAACAAAGAGTAAATTATGTATGTTTGTGACTACCCTATTTATCTCAATTGACTCTTAAAGTCAAAACTGATAGATGCGTGCACAAATCTAGAAATAAATCCTTCCAGATATACCTATCTATTTACTATTTTGACTGCAGAAAAATACACAAGCCATAAATTGACATATTAAATAATTCAATATTTTCACGTTTGAGTCAAAGGTGAAGCCAGGAATATCAGCTTTTTGCGTGATATTTCAATAATCAATATGATATGTCTAGCTACCCTGATCCCATTTCTTAATAAAAGTTATAGATTTTGCTTGTGGGTATTTGCGTTAAATCTATGTATATTTGATCTAGCTGTTCATATATGTGTAGCAATCAACTACAAACACACGTACAAACAACGTCCACAATCGCAAAACGGGAAATATGTATTCTATTGGAACATGGCAATATCAAAATGCCCTTGAAATGCAAGTTAACAAAAAGCAAAAAAATCACATGACAATATTGCAACTCCATGGCTACTTTAAAATGAAATATAATGCGGATAATAAGTTTTCAATTCTTCGTCAGTATTACGTACAGTAGAATTTTAAATGTTTGGAACTACTTTGAATTTAAAAAATAAGCAATCAAATGACTATATTGCAAATAGAAACATATGTACCTGTTCTAACTTTTGTATATTTCAGATAGTATTATGTATAATGTGCAGTAAAGCTGTGGCCTTTTGTAATTTAGGGAGTTTCAGCCATGTTAATTTTTCTGAAAATAACATGGCAGAGAAGCATCAAAATATAAGAGGCCACAGATATGATAGCTAAAATACGAAACAAACTAAAATATACAAAAGTTAGGACATTAGTCAAAATGAAGGGGTCAGTAACAATCCCATTATATTTTTTATAAAACAGCTCAACATTTTGACAAATGTACTCTGTATGGAAAATATGAAACGGGGGCAACATAACCCATGTTTTCTTATCATTTTAATAACATAAACATCACACGGTGTCAGCGCGTATCTTGTTTTTGGAGTAACTAAACTTGCAAAATACTTCAAGGGTACAAATAAATAAAAAATAAATCTCGACATGTCGCACACAGGAGTTGTGTATTAGCTAGAGTGTATGACTGCCCTAATGACGATTCAACATGAAGTGTCATTTTTGTGTAAATGGTAGTAGGATGTGCAGCTTACAAATGGCTGTAATGCACGAATCTGAGGTAGCATTTGCGAATGCAACTGCCGGCTGACGGCTTGAGCTTCAACTAATAAATAATCTGCATAAATTAAACTCGTCATTTTGAAAGTGAAATAACGATCAAACCGTCAGCAAACTAACATTGATCACTTATCACATGCCTTTTTATAGATCGATTGATATTAATAAAGCCGCTTGGTTGAATTACAGCGATCAGATCGCAAGTCAGAAGGCAGATTAAACCGTTATTTTGGTCAGCGATCGAGTTGCTAACAGCTATCGGAATGCATGCCAGGTTGTACCCATACTATTCATATTTAAATGTCTTCCCCAAAATTGCAATCAAACCGGCACCCGGCAGTTGTATTCGCGAATGCCACCTCATACTTCACATATTTTGTTGTAAAATTCAATTTGGTACAGGTAGTCTACATTTCTGTCAAAATGAACGTCATTTCATTTGGTCCAGTGCCAAATCTTGTTTAAATTCTTTTTTGTGTGACATTTGCGTTTCTAAGTAATAATATTAAAAACATGAGCCAATGCATAGAACAAAGTGTCAGTAACCTTTTTGGAAATCGGGATATCCTAATGATTGTACTGGACCTTTGAATAAAAAGACCTTGAAATCGGGTATTAATTTTATTGGATGTGAAGGTATGGGAACCTTTAGACCGGACCTCCTACCCTTTTACACCGGTTAGATTGCATACTTCAATATAGTCTGGCTTCTAAAGCCCTCTGGAGCCCCCCCCCCAAAAAAAAAAACTATACATCTCCCCACAAGTGTTATGTTGTGTTGGTGAATAAGATAGGGGGGTCCATAGTCTTAAAGCAGGAGTAACTCCAATAATACAGCAGTGTCTATCAATGCGCCCTTATTTGAAAAGATCTCTTGAATATATATCAACACAATAAGCATTGCTTCCATAAGGAAAACACACCCATCACGTATATAATAATACTTTATGTTAAGCTCTACGGCAGAGACGATCGACTAATTAATCCGTTCTGAAGTTTAATGAATAATTTAAGTGAAGCACGATGGTGGAAATGCGACAATGATCTGAACGTTTCTGTTGACTTTGCGATGTAATGCAATCAAATAAGCAAGGTATTCAAATGACCCGCCTTATAACATATAGCTTTAATTTGTGTTATCCCACTTGTTGACTGAAGGGGTTATTTCATCAGCACAACTCGTAAATTCAACGTTATTTCAATGACTTTTTCATTCTAGGATACATGGGATAATCCATATTTAATGGAATACAGTGGGCTATGTAGGCAATATAGAGTTCTAAGATATGTACTATGCAGACACATATTAAACAGTTTGAATGACATAAATTCACATCTAAATATTGAACAAAATTTAATATTACCAATACCAATACCAATATCAACGAAAAGAATACCAATAACCAATAACAATAACAATAGAAATTCGATATGTTTCTCCCGTACCCCAGTGAAATGGACATCAATACTAACACCAATATGGCCAAGGTCGGATTTGCAATCTCTACATTTGCCTTTATAATGATAATCCGCGCGATGCTTATTACTCATATGACAACCAAGATATTGCCATCTTTCATCCTAAAAAGTATCAAACGTGCAGGATGAGTTTACCCTATATCTTATGTATTCGTTAAAATACTTTCGTATCCCAAAACATTAATTTTTGGGCTTTTGTCCTTCCCCCAACGCAGTCGGCAGTGGTTAGTTCTTAGTAACGTTAGAGTGCTAAATCAAACGAAAGCGAATGGTGCTCGTGTACTTTTGTCCACGTATAGTAGTGTAAAACAAATCTGTTTTGGAACAGGCATTGCTGTCAGGAACAAGTCGGCCAATTTATTTAAAAAAAACTTAGTTGATAGTTGCCAAACCATGCTTATTCAGGAAGCACTTCAATCGCTTCAATTGTTTAACTGGAAAAAAACGTTAACCAATGCACTGTTTGGACAGTAGAAATACAAATGAACGTTTAACATCTTGAGACGGCGTAAAGTATCTTGTATTTGACAAGCTCGGTGTCAACATTGTAGGTATTATATGTTCTTATTGGGATAATGTTGTTGGTTTAGAAACCATCCTATCCGGAAATGAGACCTAGATGCCATACAAAGTTCACGGCAGGTTGAAACGAATATTGATAATGGACGAATTGATACTTGAGACTTTTGATACTTTGTAAACGTGTGTTGTTTTTCAACCTAGTTCAATTGTTGCCTTATGCGCTTTCTTAAATCATTTCCATATCTAAAGGCATGGCGTGTTATTTTAATGCTTCATGCAAATGTATCAGGCATTTTGGTTATTTAAAAAACATATTCAAGTTCTTGACACTTTTTGAAGACATTTCAAGTTCATTTAACATTGGGTTCAATGGAAATTAAACCAGGCTGAAAATTTGAACTTTTTGGATATAACTTCAGATGTACATTATTTCAACTAAACTATGTGTAAAAACACACCTCGATTCATCAGACGGTATTGCATATGACTGAAGGAACACATTGGTTAACATGGTTAAAACGGCCATCAAGCAGAATGAGAGACACATGAAGGCTTGATGTAAGACGCTTAACATTTAACGTGGCTAAACCTTTCGAAAAATCTAATTTCGGTCCATATAAAGAGAGCTTCAACTACAATATTTTATAATTCTTTGATAGAGTGGCTTATCCAAGGAGAATACAGGCCAAATCGAAATAACATTAATATATACAAGAGGGCCTGACAATTATGGTATTTAGGGTTATGGTGTAGAATTGTTAAATGTGAAATTCTTTAATTCGTTCACAATATTTAATTTGGCTCTGAAAATAAAATAAACTTTCTTTATTGATGAATGTGTGGAGTTTGAATCATATCAGAAGCGTTAACTTTTTTCTAAACAAATGTTTATCATTTGGTCATCTTTCCTAAGGGTTTCTCTAAATATCAAACTAGTATCTCCATATCTAAGCTCTGTCCCTATGTTCCTTACATCACCATCTAGATGTAAATGTAGATATTCCATGAATGTTTGTGATCAGCAATATAGATGAGGAGATAGTGTGCACAGGAATTGATGGAACAGATAATGTGAACATTATATGTGAATATATGTAAATGTCAAAACCATTATGTGTGCAGTAGCATCACTTTGTCATGACTTTATATCAGTTTCGTTTCCTTTTTAATTGATAATTATTCTCCAAACGCAGGGTTAGAGATGTCATCTACCCTGTCCCTTCCTTCTTACTGAAATGGAAGATGACTCAACCCGCGGGGAATAAGTCACCCACTCCCTCTAAAATTCTCTATATTAAATATATAATATTGGCTACTCAACATAGAGGAATGGGTGACCTAGAGTACTACCAATGCAGGCCCGTAGCCAGGATTTGCCAAGGGGGGGGGGGTTCAGTTTTCAAAAATTTTCAGGGGGGGGTTCACGTTTGACAATTTTGGCCCAAATATGGCTAAAATCACTTGAGAAGTGCTCAAAATGGTGAAAAACTGCATGATTTTGAAATAATTTTTGGCCAGGGGGGGGGGGGGGTTCGCCCGAACCCTGCGAACCCCCCCCCCTGGCTACGGGCCTGCAATGGATCATGTATATGTACTAATGGAATCGGGATTTACGATTTAAGGCTCAGCTGGAAAGTAACATCTTGGTAAAAAATTGCTATACCTGCACATGTTATTTTCTGGTACAAAATTAAGTATGAAGGCATGTGTGTATTTCCTTGCTTTTTTCAGGAACGTATCACTACACTGTCTACTTTTAGTAAACCTGGAAACAGGTCAATGGTAGCTCCTGTGTTGTCTGGAAACTTTGAAAGAAAATTTGGAAAAATAGAAAGTGTGAAACATTATTCTAGAAGAAGACAATGTAATGATACTTTCCTGAAAAAGCAAGGAAATTGATACATGCCTTCATACTTTATTTTGTACCAGAAAATAACATGTGTATAGGTATAGCAATTTTTTTTACCAAAATGTTATTTTCCAGCTGTACCTTAAGAAAAGGTATGCTTATCAAGTATAAGTCCTAAACAATGCACGGGAATGCTCATAGAATTTCACTGATGACGAAAACCTGTGGGTAATATTGAGATTGAATAATTTGGAATGTCAACCCCCTCTCTTTCCCAGAGTGCAAGTCAATTGAGGTGTCACATTCAAACTTCAGTACAGGTGACAGCCATTTGCGTGGATCACAATAAGTGTAATAGATTGTTGAAATACAATGGCGAGTAGAGTAATAGAATGTAATGAATGGTTGGACTTACCGAAATGTGTGGTCTTTTCCTCTAAAATAAATGATCTCACTAACTCCGATGAGAAAATGGTGTAAGTCCCAATGTGTGACTTTTCCTAGTTCGTATATTCTACAAGTCCGTAAGAAATGTTGTATATTGCTCTCAAGCCTCAATGTCAATATGCGTAGTGCTTATGGTCGAGCTGGCCACCTTTCTATGCACGTTATAAACACACTCTGGTATAAACAGTACATAGAATACACCCAAAACCTGTTCAAGCATTCATGCGATATTTCACCTATTGAGGTCCCATGTGTATAAATATGAATAGCATCGTATAAAGAGCTCGTGGGGTTTAGCCTTATTTAGCTATTTATAACAATGCGTGTTTAAATACCCCTTTTGTACGCTCAATAACCCAGATGCGAGTAGAAATAATCTTGATTTACGTCATTAAAAATTCAAAATTCAGTCAAAGTAATATCATATTTGAAATCTACATGTAAAATTACATCTAGAAATGTGGTTTTAAAAAGTGTTTATCAACGTTGAAAAATTAATTTTCTTTGAAAATGTGACTTCTAGCTCGGGGAGATTCACCATAGACCCCATGCTATAAAATCACAAAAAATGAAATATCTTTTCTTTTAGTAGACAGATAATATTTTGCTTTACTGGACATATTTTCATTAGTATAAGTATTAGGCACATAAGGGTTATATGAAAATTGAACCACTTAAATTGATAGTATTCAAGTTTAAGGGAACTTTCTTATATACCTGCCATGTTAATTGACCCGAATCAGCCACCTGGTGATGAAACTGGTAACTACCTACTCGCATTTGGGTAATTGGCTTAGAATGTTTAGTATAATGTATGCGCAGAGAACGATCAGTGTAAATTAGGAGCTTGCACCGTAATGTCCCCCTGTTTTGGCTCTGTGTTGACAGATTTGCCCGTATGAAACACACTGTTTACGTGAATGGTACACTGTATATTATAAACATGGTCCCTATCGAGAATCAACAGATAGAGCTGTGTGATCGTCTTGCCAAATCCACTATAATTCCAAGAAAATGGTAGATTTGGATATGTACAATCTAGCAGATTGTTCCCTTTGCCTCAATAGCCGACATCATTTTAATGACGCTCATTATGAGCCCTACACGGGGCACGATGATCAATGAGGGTCTATTATTACATATCATTTAATGCAAATGAAAAAATGTATTGGGCCTCCTCAGCTATGCGTAGAACGTAATTTTACCACAGCTTAAATGAGAATTGTAAGCATACATTTTACCTCTTCATTTTTATTTGACTTAATTTGCACCTCAATTAAGGATTACAGGATGACATTGGACAAATGTACATTTATCTGATCCAACCCCATCCGGTTCAGGTATTTTATCACAGTCGACCTCTATATGGACGTCGTTGCTAAATGAAACAAAGTTTCCCCAGAGTTTATTGTTGCAACCCCCGATGGTATCAATAAATTATGCTGCCTGGCGATACCTTCAGTAATTCAATTTCGTAAGACGTGCATTTAAAAGCTACCCTGCTCGCAGAGTCTATAGTTAAAAACGAAGACGAAGCTCTCTCTTAAGATGTGAAGTCGAACGAATGCAAAGGGTATTTAAAAGCCAATTCACATATAGATACATAAATATTTGGAGTTTAAATTGGAGTTCATACTCGCTTAACAGTTAGTTTGAATTTCAATCGTAAAACCATCATAGCTTGGTAATGCCTTGGTCACATTTGCTCCGATTTTCACTACGGTGCCCGGCATAATGCCTGGGTCACATTTGTTCCGATCCATCGGCCGCCGCCCGGCAAATTGAGTGTTTTGTTCAATATCGTACTCAATCGGCCGGGCGCCGTAGTAACCAAGGCATTATCCAAGATGTAGATTCGAAAATTACCAAAAGGACATTCGCTTCAGACGCATGGTAAATTAAACTCTTGCGACACCTTTAAAACGGTTGGGTACTAAATATAATATGACAAAATTGCGACTTTTCGGTTATTTATGGCTCTGTATGATCCTTTATTTAACATCATTATATTTCATTGTTTTGATTTACATCATTGTATTTAATTGTTTTGATAAAATTGTATTTTTAATAATTAATTGTTGACTCCATAGTATCGCGTGTCATTATGTTGTACTTATCAACTGTAACACTATATTGAAATGCATGCACCATTTGTTTATTTCATCATGTAATGTATTTACAAGTGCTTTGATAATACAATGGGACAGTAACTACATATAATCAGTATGGAGCGTTATACCACATTATTGAGGACCATCGATAAGTCTTGATTGTCCAGCCAAAATGCACTATGATATCACAGATGACACTTTCAAGTATTTTTCTTCAATTTCATCGTAATGTTGCCTCTAGCTCTAAAATGTAAACATGTCCGAATATCGAATGCCCTCTTACTCTAAGAACATAGACATGTCATTCAAAATGTTTGTATAGCCTCAATTGAGGTGCAGATGGACTATGTGTAACAACTTCACGATTCATTCTTATTCTTGTTCTTTGCTTGATTTCCTTACTTTTAAACTGATAGCCATCTCCTTCGGAATGCGTCTCACTTACAGTCCTGTTGAACTCTCTAGACCCAGTGGTGTTAGACCTATCACCGGGCAGGGTTACTCGTATTGGTTCTCTTGACGGTTTCGCATCTTCTTCTTTTGCCTTTGGTAAATTATCGGGTACCGTTTTGACTGGCACCGTAGTAGGTTTTGTTTGTGGGGTAGTATCTGGAACGGGATATCTTTTAGGAACAAGATTGCCAGTTGGGCTTTTAGGTGGGGTGACTTCACGAATAGGCTTAGTTTGCGGACCAACGTCACGAATAGGATTTGTGGTAGTGCGAGTTGGATTTGCAGGTGGTGTAAGTTCACGAGTAGGAATTGTTTTGGGTAAGACATCGCGAGTTGGAGTCTTCTGTGGGATGACATCTCCTTTTGGATGGGTTATTATTGTTGTTTGTTTGTCCTTAGGTTTAATTGGATCACTTGGTGTTTTAGGATCAGCATCTTTCTTTGGATTGACAACAATAACCTGGGGATCGGGTCGAGGGTTAAACTTAGGCGTTGGGTCATTGTCATCAACGAGCGTCACTCGAGGTAAGGGAGGGATAATCACTGCAGGCTTGATTGCAGATTCAATATTTCTCGGTTGCACCAAGCGTCTCCTCCTTGCTCCAAATCTTCTCTTTATAGCCCAAATATGAGAATAAAAGTGATGCACCATTTCTCTTATATGTATTCGCCATTCCGGTGGATACTTCCGTGACATCTTATGAAGCATAGTAATAACCTTTATAGCTATGATAACCAGGAATATAAGAATAAACATACAGCATGGGGTGAACGGAGCATATTCCCTCAGAAAGTACTCCAGAATGCCCAGAAGCGTAACTAAGGTTGTCAAATCTCGGGACATCTCTTGAGCAATGACTGTGAGTGGGTAGAGAGCATTATGCAGCTTATGAAAGAAGTCAGTTTTAATATAGAAACAGGTGCCATCAGACTGCACAAGCTTGAACTCATCAATTAGCCCTGTCCCTTCAGGCCTGTTACCATCACCTAATGTGTCACTTTCAGGAACACCATCGTTGTTTTCAGGATTCGTAAAGTCAAGAGAGAATGATACATTTGGAGTATCTGGATCCCATGTCGACTTCGATTCCATTTCAGGATCTGTATTTCCATTACTGTTATTTCTATTTTCGTTTTCACAAGAACTTCCACCTTCATTCGGGATATTGTTGTTGTTGTTATTGTTTATTTTCCCAGGATGTATGTCCGACCCGAAAACACTATCAGATAACATTCCATGAGAGTCGCTTTCCTTTTCGTTGACGCCTCTTCTTCTTGGTTTTTCTTCAATATTCTGTTTGTTGCTAACGTTACTTTCTGTTGTTAGTAGTGGTCTGACATCATTTTCATTACTAAATGGGGAAAATTCAAGATTTGGTAGTAGCCCCTCAACAGAGGCCAGTCCAAGATGCTCATTGGTGTTACTCGGGTCAATGAATTCCAAGAGCCCACCGCTGTTCTCATCAAGAGGATGCATTAGACATTTCTGTTGCTCGTCTGCAGCTAAAAGTATCATCTTTGCAAACTTCTCTCTCATCTGGCTAAATGACTCCCATGTATTGTGAAAGATGAATATATACGTCATCAAAATTGGGAAAGTCGAGGTATCGAGTAAGGGTATCGAGGTTGTGTGAAAGAAAAATTGCAGTATTGTATAATGGACGAATACCAGATAAAGTCCGACAAACGGGGCGATACAAATTAGCATACGCCATTTACGACTGAGGTGTCTCTGTCGCCGGAGTAATACAATTGCAGTTGAGACAATTGCAGTTACTGGAAGAGCATTTAATATGGCAGCAAATACCATAATGCATCCCGTTAGGATTTTCAGTAGAATTGTCACACATCTGTTCACTTTATTCGTTTTTTCTTGAAACAGTTCAACGCAACAAAACCTCCAATATGCATCATCTAAGAGTAACCGCGCCCTATAAAACACTTTGTCTGCAATGGCGGTTCCAAGCGGCGTTACGGCATCTCCAAGTTGGCATTCAGTTGGTAGTTCTACCAGTCCGAAAAGCGTGTCTGTCCGGAGATGCTTATACACCCTTTTCATCTTCCTCCTTTTCACTGACAAGTCCTCAAGACCATCGTTTTCATATGGATCAAAATCCAGATCGGTGCCAACCTTTTCCCATATAAGTTTTATGATAGGGAACAACGAGAGGAGAATAAAATGGGTGAGATAGGCCCAACCGGGAATATCTGCAAAATGGTATTCCGTTAATACCTTCATGTTGATGGCTACAATGACAAGTCCAAAGACAACTACCTGAAAGGCCCGTGATTCACAAAGGACACTAAGCAACATTGCTCTGATGTCATTGATCTTATAATACATCCCTTCATCTGTCATCTCCCCATCAGCGTTTACCTTACAATACGCCACGTGGAACGGAATCAAGACGACGATAGGGAAAATGATCACCCACCAGATGATGTATAGTAGGATTCTATAAATATGTACCATTTTCGGAGTCCGTGGGTATATGTAGCATTGACTGTCATCTCTCATAATAATGGGACAGCAAATGATTTCTTCCGACGTTCCAGAAGAGAATAATGTGTACGTTTTAGAGTATTCATTATCGATATCCTCAGACGCATGTCTAATATCAGTTCTTGTAAAACACATGAGACTGCTTCCATAGGTTGAGTAGGACATATTTGCAAATATCAGCCCCTGAATTTTATTTTTCAGAGCAGTTTGTATGTTCTTCTTCATGACATCCGGGTCTTCACAGTGTCCAGTTACCTTTGAATGAATGATGATATCTGATTGGCTTAGTGAAATTGGAATCAAAGAAAACAGACGATACCATAATAAATTGTTCATGAGATAGTGTGCTTTAGCATCTGCTACCCAAACTACTGAGTAGGTAGGTTCAGTTTTATTATCTGTCCGTATAATAACGCGGACGACTTTCAAGCCTTGTTCAGATATCATATACATATACTTATGGACATCATTTTCTGATATATCAATTGAGCAATTATTCCGGCTCGTAGAAGCACCAACATTAGGAAGTTCAAGAAACTGAGTGTCTTTGTACCGATCGTCCACGGTGGTATCCACCTGTTGAGATGTCGTAATTGGTGAGGTTGTCGTTGGTGTCTCAATCATCTTACAATGTAAGAAATTGTATCCACTGTCGTCCTTTGTGTCTCGCGAACCGGAAACTAGGTTTTGTATGTTACATAACAAATGCACTCCATCTGGGCTCTGATTTGTTGATGTCAAAACGGAGGTCTGTGAAGCATGGAGTGGGAAGTCAATACTGCGGATGACATCTGCTGAGCATTTCCTCCCAATTCCGATAAGCAACATCAATAGCAAAAATGCGAAATGAACGAATTGCGTTATCCCCATGTTTCTGAAACGTTGTGTGTCGTGTGTCTCAAGAACAGTTTCGATATCAATATATCGAACTACTTGTCCAGTATTTAAAAACACCAAGGTTAGCACACACACATTAATTTCACTTAATGTAAAGGTAACGTAAATAAAGAACTAGTGATACATCAAAATGACAGAGAGCTAAGTAGGCCCCATTTGTTATGGACTCAAACACTTATTTACTTTTTTGAATAAAGGTCAAGAGGCTATCGCGAAACAACTCAATTCTCTGATATAGCTTAGTTTATAAACTTTTATATAAGCAAAACAATAAAATATTGTTCCACAGATTTCCCATATCGCTGTGTTGCACAGTTAATTACACTTTGCAAATCCATGCACAACACATAATTTTAGAATTCGCTTATTGTGTATTGATCACATTTTCAAGCTATAATTATAACAAAGCGTTTGTGTTAAAGTATATAAATGTTTGAGTTAGTGTCTTGAGGATCAAAACCCCGGGATCAAAATTAGGTTTTATTAGGTGCAGATTTGAAAATCATTTGGAGGAGGCCAAAAATGTTGAGTCCAAATCTGAAAATTTGGGACAGAATTCGTCAATATATGGCCAAAATTAGCAAAACTAGTGACTAGTAATGCCAGTTTGTTACTTTTAATTGCCTAATTTATGTGAGGAGAATTTGGGCCCTAAATTCATTTGGACCCACCAAAGGGGAAGGCTGGGCCACCTCCCAAATCCGCCAATGGAATTTGAGACACTAACCATTGGATATTTTGTTCAATCAAAGTGTTCAATAAAAAACATGTTCGGTATAGATGAAATATAAGTTTATTTAGTGGGAGGGATTGAATATGGAGTTGATACCCGGGGTCAATTTGTGTCATATCATGTAGAAGCATTAATATTTTCAATTCCCATTTTCCCATATTCACCTTCCGATCAGGTTTTAAGCACTTTATTCCGCGATATTAGATGATTATAGATTTTGTCAATATTGATTTTAAAAATCTGCAAATACAATATGTATCAAATGGTGATCTACAGAAAAATATGAAAAGCAAAATTGTGTAATTTTCATTACACTTTTCTTTGAAATAAATATTTTTCAGGGATGAGTTTTTGTTTCAAAAGTCATACGAGCTTGGTGTAGTCGAAATGTCGATGCCAAATGTTAGGGGCAAAATGTTTTAATATCGATAAAAGCTCGTAAAACATCAAAATCGACACTTATTTCTGTCCGCCATGTTGAGAGAGAACGTAACGGCCGTTACCATATCCATATTGTAAAAACAACGGTTCACTGTGCACTTACTAAAACGATGTTTTAAAGTACATACCCTGTTGAAAATATTACAGTCTGATTTTAATTTTAGGGAATTCTACACTTGTGAATATTGCTCCATCATAGCATATAATTGGACCAGCGATATGATATACATGAGTCCCTGTAACCAGAAATGGCCGGTATATTTAGGGTATTTTTGATGATCTTTAATTCACAATAAATGGAAGACATGGGCCAAATGGGGTCCTCCCTTAAACTTCGACTACATAATATTTGCAAATATATCGAGCATTCGTTTAATTTTACATAATACTTTAAAATGGATTAAGTTTTCCACTTGAAAGAGGTCATTTGTCAAAATCTTAAAACAAATTGCCCTCATCATCATGTCATTCTCATTTTTTATAGTGCTTTATGGTAATCCTTTGTTTTTAATCGTTTTTATAACACAATTCGTAACAATGTGCCATTTCCAATGTTAAAAACTATAGGGGGCGCACTCTCGTATATTCATAGATCGCGGTGACATCTAAATATGAAAATAAAGTTTAAATGACTAAAACGCATGCGCCGATTAAACGAACAAGACTACGGCCACTACTGGCAAAGTATGGTTTCGAGCTTTTGAGTGGCTTGTTTGTAGTTACGACAATGCCGCTGGAAATACGTTATTTGAGGACAAATTGACCCCACATATATAAACAACATAATATTACAAATGTTCGTGCTGACAGATATAATTCACGTTGATTCAGGTTATATGTTCATAGTCAGGCACATAACATCTTGATTAAAATAAAGGTTCAGTTGAACCGAATTTTGCTTTACGGATTTAATGAGACATGTGCATGTTGGATAAACCATCCAGGTCTTATATTTGAAATAGTATACCATGTATAGTACAGGGCTGTTTGTCGAGGGATGCTATTCATCTACTATACAATATCCGTTCTGTAACCGCTTATTGAACAGAACTTTTAGCATTTAATCATCGACGATGGTTGCCTTGTGACAGAGAGTCTTTGTGTACTCATGACTCAGTAAAGGAGGTTAGGCTCTAGATACAATGAATAAGCCTGCTAAGTTTATCTATTTGTGATTTGGTACAAAAGAGTGTATATGAAGTGCAAGACAGAAATTATATCAGGATGTAAACATAAGAATACTGATATCTATATAGCTATTGTATGAGTTTCTTACAACAAGTGCATACATATATATCTAACTCGTAATACACTAAGATAACTCTCACTAGAAACGATATAAACAGGACTGCAGACAAATAAACGTTTTACAGAAACGTTAGCGGTTTTTAACACCAAATTGTTGCTGACTATAAAGATTTTTAGGCTCTCTAGTTATAGACATGGTATGACTGCCATGTCACAAACAAAAGCCCCTAAAGAAGGGGTCACCGCAGCTGCTACAAGAATCGTATTCTTCGGATCAGAAAAACATCCCCCTTTACTTGTGGAAAACTGCGCCCTTCCACAAATCAAGGACGGTGAAATCCTCGCAAAGATACTTATGGCGACGATATGTGGATCAGACATTCATACAATACAAGGAAAGAGGAGGGAGGCCACACCAAGGTAAATTAAAACTAAATCTCTAAATAGTCTAAATATTTTCAACTTGCAGTTGCATGATTATTTCTGAGTATGCTGGTAACATCCCTTTTCATGGCTCAGTCAACTTGATCGGGTGATATAAATATAGGTGACCGAAGCGACCGTCCTTGATTGACTGACTGAATGAATTAAAACCGGGTTTATGATTTAAGATGACGTCACTGTGATTCTGTATCAATAATAATATCCAATGCTTATGCATTCTAGAGATAGAGGGCGCTGAGATCTAAATTGCCGTCTGGTTTGACCACCGTATTTTTGGGATCATGTAGAACACGCTCAGTACAGTATCTTGTTTCAATAGAACCTGTCTGTAAGGGACATGTAATTAATCTCAGGCTTTGATTGGCACGTTCCATAACAGATAGCTGTGTTAAACATTGGGTTATGTTGGTTATTTCATTTGGAGATAATGTCACATCGACATTGGCTATGAAATAGTATCCTAAAAACCTCTCGCAACTCAGCTAACTAACTGCCAAACGGAATAAAGACCTCATTAGAACATCCCTTTCTACATATGCTTCAGGCCCTTAGCCTGCCAAGGGGGAGGTCACTTTATGACACTTTTGGCTCAAACATGACCAAAAATCATTTGAAGTGGTCAAAATGGTGAAAAACGATTTTGGCCAGGGGGTCGTTCAAAACCCGCGAACAGTTTTTTACGATATTTAGTCCGGACTAAGTTCACCGGTCTTGATCCGACGGAGTTGGTGAAGTCCGATGGAGACTGCTGCAAAAATATGGCCGAGGAGATTTCATCAGATTCGACAGGACTCCACTGGACTCGACCGGACTCGACAGTACTCCATCGGACTCCACAGGTCTCAGGAGGACACACTGGGGTATCGTGAATAGAGACTTTCGGTCATCATAGGTCTCAATAAAACTTAAAAAGTCCGGTGAAAAAGACCGATCCGTGTAAACAGCGCTTTAGGTTTAACTCAAACAAACAAATTGAAAAGAAGCCTCCGTTTCGAAATGTATCCAAAATTGAACCGATGACAGAAATCAATAATTCTTAATTTGCAAGACCCGTGTCTGTATCAGATACTAATTCTAATTACTGATGCTATTACAAAAATGAAATGTAAAGATTCTATGCAAAATTAATTATAAATCATTTTCCTATCATTCTCATAGCGTCTTGGGCCATGAGGCAGTTGCAGAAATTGTCGAGAGTAGGCGGTTAGACGAAAATCTGCAAGTTGGGGATAGAATCACGTTTTCCGTTGGAGATTACTGTCAAACGTGTGATAGATGCAAATGTAATTTGCCCAACAAATGTAGAGAATTGTTTAAAGTAAGAATGTTTTTATGTTAGATAAGCCTAATATTATATTTATTGTTATTTACATTGATAGTAAAGATAATTCTTTGAAGATGATTTTTGAAACAAGTATTGTATTTAATTGTAGTAAGAATTAATAAGAATAACTGTTTTATTTGCTCAATCTAGTATGGGCACGCTTCACTTAATGATGGAACTGGTTTCAATGGTTGCTATGCCTCCCACATTGTACTGAGGGCGCGAACTCATGTTGCTAAGATACCACCCCACGTGACCAACAAAATGGCTGCACCGATAAACTGTGCACTTGCAACAATGGTGAATGCGACTAGAGCCATTCCAGAAGCCAGTATCTCATCTCATTCTAGATCAGCCGTGATTCAGGTGAGAACGCTTGTTGTAATCAAATGTCTTATGAAAATTCAAATTGTCATTTTATGTCAACATCTTTAAGTGATGACAAATCAAACTTGAAAATGAATAAGTTTAAAAATATTATGGAATAAATAGGTAATTGGTGGTCGTGATGGAATATGAATTTTGCCTCGGTAGATTATGATATTGGCCTCGGAAAATATCATATCGACACTCGAACTATCGGCCGTGTTCAATATAATATTTTCCTTGGCCAATATCATATTTTCCCTAGGAATAAAATTCATATTCTATTCCTCCCATTAAATAACCTCTATATTAATATGTTCTTCTGTTATTTGACCAAATATGTATTTTATGGATCGTCTTAATTTTAAATGGCCCATTTTGACACAGGGAGCGGGTCAACTAGGCCTGTATGGATGTGCTTTATTAAGGAACGCAGGGTACGATCCGGTATACTGCACTGACATTAACCTAGATCGACTATCCGCTGTCCAGGCATTTGGAGGAACACCTGTATTCTCAGGTACATGTTTTAGTTCTTTTTATCCAATAATGACTTCACAACCAACATTAATGTGCATGATCATCAATAGGTTACGGTATTATTTTGCCTACTTAATAGGCGATTGATGCAGACTAATGGGAGGGTATACAGTATCCGAAGCTAGAATCTAAGATATCAAGATAACATGATTACAATCCAACACCTACAATTTTCTAGGCAATGTGTCTTACACCATATGAAATCGTAAATTTCCATTCACGATGATATCCGATTAAGGAATTAGGTTATTGAGAAGGAAAAAGTAGCAATTACTGTAGGTCCGAGTCTATACTAAATTTTCAAATTACAGGGTCACCTAATTATTTAAGAAAAAGCGTTGTTGAATTAGGATCTCAAGTCATAAACGGCAAACCAGAGAACGACTCCATAGATGTTGTAATAGAGGTATGTGGAGCGCCAAGTGTAATACCCGACGGTATAAACCTGCTACGTCCAGGGGGAGTGTACATATTTGTTGGAATGGTCCATCCTGATTCAAGACTGAATATTACCGGGGAGCAGATCATACGAAAATGTCTTACTATAAAAGGTAACAAATCTCACTTCATTAAAATACATTTACCTTTGCGAAGTGAATTGGTTACGAAAGTCAAAATATTTTAAATATTACCACCTAAGGTTGATACTATCAACTGTAACCACTGCACGTATTTAGCAGTTTTTTGTTTTTTTCAGGTGTTCACAATTACTCGCCAAAAGACTTGGATTTAGCTGTGGAATTCCTGACTAAAACAGCAGACAAATATCCGTATGAAAAAATGATAGGTCCCCAGTATTCAATATCTGGTATCCATGACGCTATTAAACATTCCATATCACAAACATACTGCAGAATTCCATTAGTACCATGAAATTGTAGATGCAATACTAGTATGCATGTACACCCTCCATTAGGAAAATAAACCCATTGACAACCACCTGTGGTCGTACTTAAAAATAAACTATATTTCTATAATAGTACCATACAATCCTGTTGTTATGTTGTATACAATTTCGCAATTATATGATCTATTTGATTTACGCTCAGTATATTTAATTCACTTTATTCGCGAAACAAGTATAAATTACCACACACTCACATACACGTAATTTCCCCGTATGCCCCCTTCGAGCCTTGGAAAAATATCACCGTGAGCATCGATTTCATCCTTGCTGCAAGGGTATTTTACAAGTATATACCCTTGCTTCTCTATATTCAATTGTTGGGCTTGTGCAAACAAACTGGACATTACTTTACAATAGTTTGATTCTAGTTTGATTCTTTTATATATATATTTACCATTCATTTAATCATTACATCACGTTTCGCTCGAAGAATAATCAATGGTGCAAATAATAGAACGGATTTACTCTCAAGTATGGTGTGTGTAGTAAAATGAAATTCATTGTCATTTATTTTCATTTTCATGACATTATGAATGTGTGTATTGTATTATCTTTGAATGGGTATTCTCTTGAAAGCCCCTAAATACATACACTCCCCTCCATAAGTTTGGCAACCTTTTTCCCCATTGAACTACGTGTTAAAGCCTCCTTACCTTTTGAATTTTTATTTACTTAACCGACGATATAATAACTTATAATATCGATGGAAACGTAACTTGACCTTATTTCCAATACCTCCAAATTTTCTCAATTTTTTCCTCAATTACAATAGGTCAAAAATTGATGATAAATTTGATGAATATTTGAAAATCGTCATTCCCATGTAATCCAATGGGAAATGGAGGGTTCGGGGCAAATCAGAAATCAGGATATCTTTTCAGTAAAAGATTCAGCAAAAAATATTTTTATATAGAAAATTAAATTGTCTAACTTTTTAAAACACTAAGTGTTTAGTTTATTTGATGAATATAAAAGTTACAGCGCTTCAAAGTCATTTTTGAAAATAATTTTTCGCCTCCTGTGTTATTTCAATGGGAGAGTTTTTTTGAAAAACAACTTTGACTTTAAAGCCCTATAACTTTGTTGAACCTGAAGAAACACATCAATTTTTGGTTAAATAAAGTTAGCAAATTCAATTGCCTGCCTAACTCGTATTTGCAAGGACTCGGATGGATGGATATTCTGTCACATGACTTGCGGCAAACCTACCATTTCCCATTGGTTAACATGGGAATGTCGATTTTCAAAAATTCATCAAATTTATCATCAATTTTCGACCTATTGTAATTGAGATAAAAAATTGAGAAAATTTGAAGGTATTGGAATTAAAGTCAAATTACGTTTCCATCAATAGTATAAGTATTTTCATCACAGGTTAAGTAAATAAAAATTCAAAGGTAAAATGGCTTTAACACGTAGTTCAATGAGGAAAAAGGTTGCCAAACTTATGGAGGGGAGTGTAGATGCATAGAACAGATTAATTTCAATTAAATGCATTTTCCTCCACTGGTATGTATATTTATACATTATTGAGATTCCATTATCATCGTGATGTTAGACAGTCAAAAAAATTAAACTATGATGGATAAAACACCAGAGCCTTAATATCAGAGTCCAGTCCTGTAAGTGTTGATATTCTGTTAGAGTGAAGTTAAACTGAAGAACACGTTTTCACAAATCGGGACCTATGACAGAAAGTCGCATTATCGAAATGTTGAAATACATAAAATATTGAACATCTCAAATGGGATTTGTTTTAGTTTTATTGACCCAAGTACAGTCGTTACATCATATTTAAATGACATTGTGATTGATGTCTGCTAACAGCTACACATGGGTGTGTCAACCCTGTACAAAGGGGCATTCCGGTGCGGCTAACAGTAAATCTGGAGTTCCTGATGGTGGATTGATCTTTCCATTCCATGCACTGAAATAAAAAGAGACAAAGGTAAACATATCTTGCATGACGTAGTGTATAGTAAACATAGTTCAAAGCATGGTAAGCATACGTGTATATCATAGCATTGTCCACATGTATCATAGTATTGTCAACATATATCATATAGTATAGTATATGTTTTATGGAATAGTCAACGTGCATAATATTAGAGTCAACATGTGTCAACATAAATCATAGTATTGTCCTCATGTTTTTTATGGTATAGTCATTCAATTTTAATAGTATCGCAACATGTATCATAGCATAGTAAACGTACATCATAGTAGGGTCAACACATATCATTTCATTGTTGGGTCAACATGAATCATAATATATTCAATATGCATCACAGTACAATCGAACATATTTCATGGTATAGTAAAATGTATCCTAAATGTAAAAACTTGGTATAATAGAATGGTCAAGATGGATCATGGTATAGTCACCATGATCACTGCAAAGATTTTATGTCGGCCTGTTTATGTACATTTGAGTAAAATAAACAAATACAATAAAATTATAAAATGGCAGTACATATATGCAAATATTTTTACGTTAAAAGCTTTGTAATGGCATTTTATGTTGTTTTACATAACCACAACTACAATAAATATCCAGATCCTTCTTAAGTGCTAACTTAAACATGACAAGATTTACAATCATCTATTCTTTATGACCATTTCGTACAGAACCGGAAACAACTACACTTATTCCAACAAAAACAATGTACTGTAATCTAATTTGTTTTCACAATGTTTAGTCGCAACTAAACAAACCTCAGAACAGACGCTCAGAACAAATTTGCTCTCCATATTCTTTAGATGCTCTCCTTCTGTACACAAAAACAAACACTATATGTCATTTGAATATTGCATACTTCCATTCAGTTCATAGTGTACTGATACCTGGCGTCTCACACAGGACCAGTGCTTTCTAACATTTGCAATATGTTTGCTTCTTAAAAGAGGTTCATCTGCCTGATGTTTTCGGATTTAGTTTTACCCTCAAGGTAACTGTCTTTGGTGGGTTAACTGATTAGAAGCAGATGTGACGAATTATAACCGTAAGTAGAGTTGATAAGACTCAACCAGCGTTTGATACACGTAAGATGTAGGGTTGTAGTGGGTTGGGTATTTCATTGTATAAGCTTCAATTCTCATCATTCAGCATCCCAAGCAGAACGGTGTCCACGTATACTCACCCTTTTATTCACTATTTCGAAACCTCTTCGAAATTCCTGAATGAAGTCTACAAAACCGACAGAATATCAAACCTCGTGTGATCCACAGCGTGTAATATCCAAAGTAAGACTCAAAAAGACTCCAAAGCTTTTGACAATCTTGGAGAAATACCCCTGACCAACCTCCGGGCCCAACAAATCTCACCAAAATAAACAAAATAACTTTGAATGAACATACTTTGCTTTGATTCTATTCATTGTGTCCTCGGCTTGGTCATTTGGATACAAACATCTGTAGATTGCAGCAACTCCAGCCTAGGGAAAAACAAAAAATCAAAAAGAAGGACAAATTGATATCTTCTTTTGTGTGACATTAATACATTAAGTGATGGTTCTATGTTTTGTTGTTCAAACTCTCAGAAATAATTGCCTGAGGTCAAGGTCATGGCAGGGTCATGTTCTGTAAGTTCCGCCAGACTCAACTCGAACTCCTATTATGTCATTAACCTTATTGTTAAATGCGTAAAATGTGTTTTACTGTCCAGATTGATTCTACAGGGTGGTCCAAAAAATGGGACACTCGTATTTTAAAAATAAATAGTGATTTCATTATGAAAACATGTCATATTATATACCTGTGGATAGGAAATTTACTCATCAAGTTCAAATTTATTATAATGTCTGTCAACCAGCGTCCATAATATAAATGACGTCATTTTCGTTGACAACTGGTTGACATATTGAACGTCTGTTTATGTAAATAAAGTTGACAATAAAACTTGGTTTTTGCAAGTTTTGGAAAACCCGTTTTGAAACGAAAATGACGTCATTTATATTATGAAAGCTGGTTGACAGACATTATAATAAATTTGAACTTATGATATACCAAAATAAAGATGAGTAAAGTTCCTATCCCGCACTGGTATATAATATGACATCTTTTCATCAAGAAAATCAATATTTATTTTTGAAATACGAGTGTCCCATTTTTTGGACCACCCCGTATATATAAATGAGAATACTCGTTCTGGGTTCGTAAGCATCTGTTATATCTGATTTTATCTCTGTATTTCGTAATCAAAGGAATAAATTCAGGTTGCTGTGATGTACCAGCATGCAGTATTTCTTTCATTTGGTGATTATCTTAGAAACAAAAGAAAAGAAACAACAAATGTTTGCTTGTAAGTATATGCAAATTCGAATAATAAGTGTTACCGAACAACGATAACGCAGGTACAGATATCTACTCACGACATGAGGTGCAGCCATTGATGTACCAGTCTTAGTACCACTTGCATCATCGTTTAAATTAAGCGCACTCTCTATGTTTATAGCAGGTCCTATTATGTCAATCAAGTGGCCAAAGTTAGACGACGAATACCAACCGTCCGATGACGAAGATCCAGCAACTGTTAAGGCTTCCACGGCACTTGCTGGAGATCTTGATTTTGCATCAACGGCCGAATTACCCGCTGCTACAACTACGACCATGTTGTTGGCAACGGCGGACTTAATTGCATCATTTTGTCCGTCGGATTTTCCACCACTAATAGACATATTAATAACACCTTTCTTGCCCATTTTCTGGGCTTCATTGACAGCATATCCCAATGCGGCAATGGAAGCGCTTTTAGGGCATCTTGAAGTACTCTGTTTACATATCCTGAGTGAAACAATGGTAGTTCCTTTAGCGACACCCCAAGTGTTTCCACCTATTATTCCTAAAAAGGAAACACATTTGCCCATAATCACGTTGGATAGGTATCGATATGGTGAACTGAATTCAACACTGTTTTTCTCTTAAAGCAATTATTGAAAATATTCTGTAAAAAACACGGTATTTTATGTAATGTTGCTGATTAACAACAATTTAATGCAAAAATTATTTAGAAATATTTTTAACTTGTATAACTGTTTTTGTTTAACATTTTTTGTTCTTTGGTGAAATTGTTTTTGCTCCTTTCTATCAATTCTTGAGAATGAAATAAAATGTCTTTCCTAACCTTGTTGGAACAAAATAGTATATACAACATGTTTTTAGACCTCTCAATATTATAGTTATACAAAGGAATTTTTGGTTGATTTTAAAAAAGTATTCAAAAAATTAAAACAAAATCCCCCAAAATAGATAAAAATCAAGATAAACCTTTTATTTCATTAACAAGATACTTTTTTAAAATCAACCCAAATTTTCTTTGTACAATTACAATATTGAGAGACCTAAACATGTTGTGTTTATGTCGTTTTGTTCCAATGAGGTTCGGAAAGATGTTTTATTTCACTCTGTAAACATGATACCAAGAACAAAACAAGTGTTTGATGTGTTTTCTAAAACAAAATGGATGAAAGTATATACAGGTATATATATATATATTTCAAATTATATTCTTACCATTCAAAAGATGACCATTAAATTGACGACGTGTTAAATTTTTAGATTTTTCATGACTGGTTTAATACAAACGTGTGTTCAAAAAGTTCAAAAGTTCACCATATCGATACCACTCCTTTAACAAAGATTTAATCGATCTTGGGCTGCTTTTGACTTTTCCCGTGCTCTGGAGCTAGATGTCAAATCTGTATCTTGGTTGGTGCCAAAATATTTTGTAACCCAGATGTTTATGTGGGTAGTGAAGGATATCCTTGCAAGTTAGAAACGTGGGATAAGTTGAAGCTTAGTACTACTGTATTTACCTGCTACGTGAGAACCATGACCATTGAAATCATCACCCCCAGTGCCTTCACCGGAGAAGTCGGTTCCCTATAGTATAAACTTTTAATAGTAAAAGAGTTTATTTACTGTAAAGCAGATGTTACATTGTGGGCTCACCTTTCGTCACCATGTGGTTAATTTTCGGCACTCATTTTTAAATTAATCAGTTTTTGTATAAATTGATGTGATAGGGAATATCTTGCTAAAACTGTTTGTTTTGCCCACCGTGAATCCATGCGGTGGTCCACCGTCTGCCGTAAAGTATTCACACGGTGGCGAACAGTTAGCTCACCCGGCCTAAGTGTGGCAGTTCCATTAAAACGAAGAAGTTCATGATCATATAGAATCAGAAGTCAGTGTTGCAGTTCATTTAGTTTTGTCAAACTTCGTATAGTGTTAGAGTTCACTTACTGTCAGAGTCTAATTAGACTTTGTATACCATTAGAATCATACAATATAGATGCTTATTTAGTGTCAGATATCATAACATGGAGTTCATTTATTGTCGGATTAACAAAAGTGTCAAAATTAAAAAATCAGAGAGAAGTCTAAGAATTAATGTAATGCTAAAGTATTTGCGACCATATCGGAAATAACTTCGTATAGTGACATAGCGAGTTCATATAGTGTCAGAGTTCATTTAGTGTACGTATATGTGTAATAGTTTATAAATTAAGTGTTAGAGATCATTCACTTTTAGATGTCACATAGCGTAAGAGTATATTGCATTGCTTTGCAAATGGTTTTTATAGTGCTAAAGTTCATTTAGTGTTAAAGTTCATATTGTTAGAGTATATTCATAATTAGTGCTATAAGACTCCAACGAGAACCCCTGGAATTGTGTTAGAATAGAAAGTATTTTTACAATATTAGAAATAAACAATTTGCATGAATGAGCCAGTTTTAACATGCATGTAATTTGATATAAATCATTAACTCACATTGACAACTCGTCCACCAAATTCACTATGTGTTGCACGTACACCGCTGTAATAAGAAAACACGTGAAGCATGTTGGGTTAATGTAAGGCACTCTTCATTACTAAACTTACACTCAGTGCTATGAACTCGAGTGACTTAAAGGCCCATTATGCGTATTTTCAACATTTTCTTACCATTAATTGAACTTCGTAGTATTTCATAGTACTTTATCTTTCATTAGACATCAAAAACAACTCAAACGGGTCACATCAAAGCTTATAATAAATTATCAAAAAATATTTATTTGATCTGTCAAGTTTTATATATCAAGTTTTTACCAATGTCAATGAAAAATGGCAAAGTTGTTTGTATCATATGATTCATTAATTTTTATAGAAGTGTCGCCATCTTTAAAATCAAGAGTTATTTGAAACATGCACTTTTTCAAAATGAGCATGCACTACTAAGGATCCCTGAACATTAAATATTGTTTTCTCAGGAGTTATTTTTTCTCGGTTCAATGCAAATCAAGCTTTGTATGATATTAGATCGAGTGTGCAAATGACATTTTTCAATGATTATTTCATCTTTTTTCCTTTTAAATTAAGCACAGTGGGCCTTTAAATATTATGGGGATTAAACACTTGGGAAATTTCGGTAATGTTTAAAACTACTGCATTAATTAGTAACGATTCTGGAATCGCGATGGTAAAAAATAAAACATTATTCAAAGTGGTCATTTATTATTTAACTATTTTTAGAACCAAAATTGAGATGACATGAAAGGAAAAGATCCAAACGGCAGCACGATTTTATAAGTATTGACCAAAAGTTAGCTCTGGGACCTTTGCTTTATGCCATCTAAAGAAGCTGTCACATTAACCGTGTGGGCTCACCGTTCGCCAACGTGTGGCGAATTTTGGGCATTATTTTTAATCAATTTTAATTAATTTTTGTATTTGGTGTGATGGGGATATCTTGCTGTGAATCAATGCCGTAGCCCGCCGTCTGCCCCAAATTATTCACTGTGGCCAATGGTGAGCCCGCACGGCCTAAGCGTGAAAGCTTGAAGTGACGATTGGTCGATGCAGGTATTCCTTGGAAATTTGAAACTTTCTGATTTTAAATTACTAATTTAAGCAAAAGACATGTTGAAAGTATTAAAATATAATACTTACGAGTCTAAGACGAAAACGACTGCACAACTACCATCATCTGCAAAACAAACAAGTCATTGAATGTTACACTGTACATGTCATATAGAAGCAGCAGCGCTTATTTGCATCTTGAATGGTGTGCTGAGGGGGAATTACTAGATTAGTAGACAGGAGTGGACACTCTTTTCACGTTGGCTTGTTATTTGGGATAATTTGAGGTTAATTTTTTTATGACTGGTGTACTCTTAGATTGTGTTTTTTTCTTGTGTTTTGTAATCACTTTTGGTGTTTTCCCGTTGTGAATTGCGCTTGAATATGTATGCCCATAATCGTGGGCGAAAGGTATTCCTGCAGGATTCAGTTGATTGCCCAATCATTAAACGAAATCGATTTGGGCCTTTAGAAATGCATATTTCTTGGGTATACTATTTTTAGATTTAGCTCGAATCTTTAAATGACCTATATTATTACAAATAAATGGTTATTTAGGAAAATACCTGCATATGAATATGTGTTGTCTAATGGGAGATCTGGCTGGTTTATGCGATCAGTACCCTGTAATACAAACAACCATTACACGCACTGTAGGTAGACACATTCTATGGATGATAAAGAACATCAAAACGACACATTCTATGGATGATAAAGAACATCAAAACCTTTAAAAATCGTCAAAAACTGGATTTTGTTGGTTCTAGCTTATTTAATTCCTAATAATTCCTGTACGTTTGCATTGCATCCACTTCAACAATTAGGCCGCTAATTAGTAATTACTTTTGCGCGAATCAAACTACTAATTTTAATCAAGACAGCGGATTCGCGCGTTTATTTAGCTGACGTCACGTAATGGTGGCAAATAAAAACAAATATGATGCGCTATCAAATGTCCGTGAAATGATAAGATTTACGCTACACTGATACCGATTTATGTAAAACAATCAATGACAAACAATGCTTTCCATGGCGGTTTTTAGTTGATAACTCAGTAACTAGGAATTATTTAGAAATTTGAATGCTATCATCGAAAGCGTGGAAATTCTTCTATCTTTTAATTTTTAAACCTGGATTTGTTTTGATGTTCTTTAAGATTATCATAATGTGCAATAAGGGTAATGTTTACAAAGGTCCTTTTTCAATATAGCTTTGAAATCTTGAAGTCTCGTTTGAGATTTTAGGATATTTGTAGTTTTAACCATTAACGACTTATATTTTCTTCTGTTTGGTGGCATATTTGAATTTTATGTGTAATTTCCTATTAAATAGCTTTGATTTGCACACTTATTTACCTTGATTCAAATTTTGAAGATTTTCATGTTTTCTGAAAAAGGCCGGGCTAGATCCCCAATCACACAATGTTGAAAAACCGTAAAAGGTTCATTTACTCTTATAAGTCTCACAATTTTAATGTTAAATCACAATCCACATGTCAATAGGCTCATAATTACATTCAAATCATGTTCACGGTGCGGTAGCCAAACTGCTTGCCTACTATGCACGCAGTTTGAAAGACTGACAAACTGCGCGCCTATCAACATTGCATCATAAAAGTTGGAGTCTGTGTTTTCAAACGTCATTTTAAGACATTTATTCTTAATTGTTTTATAGTTCAACACGTCCATTCGGTGGCGATTATATGATTCAACCATGTGATAGCGAAATGCATGTCCAGATGAACGTAGGTTTAAAAATATAAGCAGATTAATACAAAAAATTGACATCGATTTTTCGATCACCGATACATAAGTTGATATCGCACGTTTCACAGAAATTTAAAACACTTGGGTTTTGATTCACAGGTAAATCTCAACCCAGTTTTCCCGTACAATACAAAATATTTCGTATTAAAACAGATGAACATGACAGAAAGAAGTAATAAAACACAAACTGCGCGCCTATTTTAGCCAGAAATCACAAACTGCGTGCCTACTCTTCCAAACTGCGTGCATATTATCGATGACTTCTCAGTAATGCAGGCCTATGTGATTTCATGGGAGTACGTAAGTAAGTTGAAAAGGTAGAGATTGAAAAGGTTCAAATAAATCAAAAACTAAAATTGGGTTGATGGTTGACAACCGGTGGAAATGTACATATTTATATTTTATTTTGTTCTTGTCTATATGATTTAATAAAAAAAGTGATGCACGACTTCATCATATAGAGTTGAGTTCAAAAATCTCATGAAAATGGTTTTGTTCTATTGGGGTCCTACTAAAAGACACCCAGGTGGCCCCCGCCTAGTTCCCATCAAAGTGCCGATGTGCCTATTTTACTACTTTATTTCAAACTAACATGGTGCATGATGCATTGTGCAACATAAATACAATTCGTTCATAAAAATTGTGTAAATATATATTGAATCCTTTTTTATTTATATTTTTGATTGATGCAGTCCTAAAAGCCATTTCTTAGAATTCAATGAATTCCTCATTATAAAATGCTATAAAAATTCACAGTTTTAGCAACATAAGTAAGAAAAAGATATTTACAACAATCTCACTCTTTCGACTTGCAGACTTGAAACTTATTACCCATGTACCATAAATAAGTGACCATGCATGCATGACGAGCAAACATTCAGAAATTCAAAACTTTTTCACTTAAATCTTTGAATTTTTGGGGATACAATAGTTCCGAGTCTATTTTATAGCATATGCCAAAGGAAGTAATACTTGAATGTCCCGACTGCAGTACATGTATAGTATACGAGCCTGATAAATCCAAAGAAATTGAGGAAGGGTTGACACAATGTACTATTTCTTTTAAGGTTTGAGAGGACATCGGGCAAGAAGTTTTCACGGTCTTTTAATGTTTTTTTTAAATGAGTCACTGGTACCTTTAAATAATCGCCTCTTTGGTTTCTTGATTGGTTTCCTTTTCTTCATTGGTGCGTTTTAAAATAACATCTTGTTTAATTCTGAAGGGGGTGTCATGGTTTTTGAAGATGCGCCGTTGTTATCTACATTTTTGTTAGGGTCAGACTTTGGTTTCTTTTTATATAGGGACAGGTTTAGTGAGTGGCGTTTACGTTTTCTGAAAATACACCACAAACTTGCACACAGCTTGCAAATTAGGCGCGCAGTTTGTAAACATAGGCGCGCGGTTTGTAAATATTAGGCACGCAGTTTGTGAAATCCACGTGAAAGTATGCACGCAGTTTGACAGCGAAAAAAATAAAATCACGTTAATGGCTTGTCACTGTTTAACAAACAAACTATATTACTTAAACCATGTGCAGTAATCCTATATCTTTCAGAATATGCAAACACAAGGGCTGAATAAACGTCAAACTACGAAAAACAGACATTATATGACGCAACACTGTATAATTTTAACACGAAAGCTCCTTGGGAACCTTATTTTGAGATAACTAGATATGCATCGGGAAAAAAATCGAGTGCTACGTATAAACTAAGTTAGTCTCCACATCTTGGTACTGTCTGAAAACCAAAACTAGCCTAGTATTTCCAGTAATTTCCATCCTCTTGGGAGTCGTGTCCTCACTGTCTGTCATTTTGTGAATAGGCGCGCAGTTTGTCAGTGTTCCAAACTGCGTGCATAGTAGGCGCGCAGTTTGCCTACCGCTCCGTGATGTTTTAAGTTGATCCAAATTGAATTACTTGTTTAAATAAAAAAAATTAAGTGACTCTTGCAACACATTTCTATGTATTCTAGCCCTACCAACACCCACGATGCCATCTATCTTTCCATTAATATAGAAAATGGTCAATTAAGATCCTGCATTCACCCTAAATCACGATGCCCATGTCAAGCTGCGCGCCTACTAGGCACGCAGTTTGAAACTCTGACAAACTGCGCGCATATTTCAAAATGTAAGACGGGGAGGACACGACTCCCAAAAAGAGCCAGAATACGCCAAATACAAGGTTAGTCTCGTTCTAAAGATAGTACCATTCTGTGACGATGAACTTAATTTACTAATAGTACTCAATGTTGTTCCCGATGTAAACCTAGTTATCTCAATATAAGGGTCTTAAGTAACTTCTGTGTTCAAAATTTACAGTGTAAAGTTATTTCTATGTCTTTTTCTCGTCATTTGCCGTTTATTCAGCCATTGTGTCTGTGTATGCTGTAATATATAGGATCACTCCATCTGATTAAAGCAGCATAGTCTGTGTTCAAAACGATAATACGCCATAAACGTGATTTAAACATATTTCTTGTCAAACTGCGCGCCTATATTCACATGTATTTCCCAAACGGCGTGCCTAATATTTCCAAACTGCTTGCCTATCCAAGCTTGTTTTGTATTATTAGAAAACGTAAGCGCCATATGTAAGGTACATATGTATCTAATAGTAGAACCCCATAATTGAAATACTATGTGAGTCCATCCACCAAGATGATGATCTGGAAATAAAAGTTTTTTCGTTCCCAACTTAATTGTAACTTCTATTATACATTTTGACTTTCAATATGAAAATCTCATAAAATCTGACGATAGCAAAATTTTCAAAGCCATATGAAAAACACCTACACACCTACACACCAATGATAATATGTAGTTTTGATACTATGTGCGCAGTTTGTAATTTCCTTCGCTAAAATAGGCGCGCAGTTTGTGCTTTATTTCCTTTTAATCTCCTGATTATCTGTTTATCTCGAAATATTTTGAATTATACATGATAAATACGTAAGGAATTAAATATAAAACGAGTCTGGAAGTATTTATCATTTATGTTTAAAGTGCTAGATCAATTTACGTATAAATTCCTGTTAAATCAGTGACGAAAATGCCATTAATCTGCTTATGTTTTAAAACTTAGATCCATTTGTACATAGTTTTTGCTAGTATTTGCAAGATTCGTATATTCGCCACAGAATGAACGCATTAAACAAGAAAACAATGCAGGATAAATGTCTTAAAATTACGTTTCAAAATTCAGACTCCAACATGAATGATGCAATGTTGTTAGGCACGCAGTTTGTGATCGAAACAAACTGCGCGCCTAAGTAGGCGCGCAGCTTGACATGGGCACCGTGTAAATGATTTTAATTCGTGATGGTCTGAAACTTGGCCCATGGAGTTTGTTATAAATTGCTAATGTCAACATGGCTGATATAAAAAGCAAGTCAAGTTGTAAAGTAACTGGGACATTATGCAATATAAATAAATAAGGTGGTCTTGTTTTTACTGGGAACGAATCTGGGGAATTTAGAAACACGTACCCACTGATTGGTTCCTACAGTAGTCGTTCGACAACCGGTGCCTTTGGTAGTACTTTGAGGTGCGGTCGTCGTCGTTGTTGTAGTAGTGTCTGTCTGTCCCGTGGGAGTTGTTGTAATTGGACCTAGAGTTGTTGTTGTAGTTGGTCCCGAAGTTGTTGTTGTAGTTGGTCCCAAAGTTGTCGTGGTGTTCGATGGTTTCCCTGTACATGGTGGTGTCTGAACTAATTTATCAGGTGTGCCAAATGGCGGATTAATCCTTCCATATGCAGCTCTATAATAGAGTATTTCCCTCGAAGTATAGGACTCTCGATGTTTTTGGTGATATTTTGGCGATCTTCAGTATTTCTCTACATTGCATTTTACCAATATAGAGTATGCATCCCATTTATATATTTTTGATTACTAGGAGTAAAGAATCCATCTACACTCTTAGAAAAAATTACTTACGCGTCGACGAGTCGATCATTTATAATATAGGCATCCTCATCGGGGTACATACATCGCAGAAGTGCTGCGACGCCAGCCTACAAATTATCACGATCAATTAAAGTTGCTATTGCAATGTACCACTTTAAGTATAATGTATTTCGCCCAAAACCGTCATTTGAAGCATATAATGTGAGATACAAGAAGCAAAATCTATTAAAATAGATGAGCAAATCCAATAAACTGCTGTTTGTTTAACTTACAACGTGAGGCGCTGCCTGTGAAGTACCCGTTTTTACAGCGGATGCACTATCACCAGCGTTTGACGCGCTCAATATGAACTCGCCTGGTGCGATTACATCTACTAATCCTCCATAATTGGATTTTGGATGGAATGTGTCATCCTTTGTGGAAGAGGCAACAGTTAAGGCACTGGGAGCACTTGCCGGTGAAGATTCACTCGCAAGTCCACCCTCATTCCCAGCAGCTACAACGACGACCAAATCATTGGAAACAGCTGCTTCAATTGCAAGATTTTGGCTTTCTGAATATGAACCGCCCAGAGAATAATTGACAACACCTTTGCGTCCTGATTTTGCGACGTAATTTGTAATCCATTGCAATGCATCTATCGATGCTGACTTGGGACATCGCCCTACTACCTCATCACATATCATACACGGAACAATGTTTGCTGATTTAGCAATTCCATATTCGCTACCAGCGATTATACCTGGAATCAAGCATACAGTACAGAGAACTACAATAAAACTTGCCAAAAATTATGAATTTTAACCGATAGTGTGAATTGGGCATGTTAGAACACAAAGAAAACTTCTTAAATGTGTGATTATGATAGTACTACGAAGTAATATTGTGTATATATAAATGTATCTATGTATATATAAACCGATTTCAAATGTTTCTTATGAATATGAAAAGTGATAAAAACTTGCTCGGATGCCCTTTTTCTAATCCTGCACAAAGGATTGATATTATTAGTGGGTACCATGTTTTTTTGCGAATCAAAAACTGACACGCCAGAAACGGTCAAAACAAATCAAACGATGATGGCATGGCTGCTTGAATTGTTCACAAACTGTCCTTAAAATTATTTCACAGTCATGCTATGCCACACTTTACGATGAAGAACCACCAATACTTTAAAAAGTTCATTTTATCACGATATCTTCCCGGGGATATAAAGTACGTGTCTGTTTTCGAAACAAAACTGAAGCAGAGATTTTACATCACGTGACACTATTGTCAATTTTTCAAAGGATATAAGTAGAATGAGTGAATCAATCAAACTAGCACTCCGAAAACTTATGAAAATCAGAAGAATTATTACTGTTTATATTGCAATATATAGGGTGAGGTAATGCAATATATCCTGAAATTACCACTTGTTTTATATCATGATCAGGTTACATTTTTCCGTATACCCCGGTGTAATACTGTATCCAATTATTGCAAGTATGGGGGAAAATAATTCAATTTAAGCTTTTTTCTTGCACCTTATTTTTCTTCGAAACACGTATAATAATTTCTCAACTTAGGTTGCAATGCATTATATTCTAGAAAACATATTTTTATACACTAGGACTTGCTTGTGAAAGTGTGAACATTACAGGTATATACGGGGGTTCATCAATGAGTAGAAGCGCTTTTTTTACACGGATGCTTTTTATAGACCAATCTCTTCGACTTTGTACCAGTGAAACATAATTTAATTTATATGTATCAACACTGACGATTTGAAGACAAAATATGTAATACTATAAATTATTGAATGATTTGAAATGCAATACGGGATATATTGTGCTCGAGAAATTGTATTGGCACTCGACAAAGTATCTGCCGGACGTACGGATGGAGGGGCGGACAGACGGGCAGACAATATGGCCCAATACTGTGTGGTAGGGACATAAAAATGTATATTGCAGAGAAGTCGTTTGCAATGTGATTTTTTGTTATTTAATGCAAACAGATGAGAAAAGAACTAACTTTTTAGTTTTGTCTGCCCTTCATTACCTTTCACCTCACGGACCGTTTTTCGCCACAAAATTCCTTTTGACGTATCATTCGACAATCGTGTCATAAGAACGTAATCGATGAAATCGACCGTAAACGATGGGAAACTAACAACATTTCAGAGCTTGTCAGTTTTATCTTTTTTAACTTTTTTGCTGGCTATTTTGCCAGATTTACAGCTGAAATGACCAAATTATTGTTTTTCTATGGTAAGAAGGTAAGAAAAGATGTTTTTTGCCATTAATTACATCTTTAACAATCACCTGCAACGTGTGTTCCGTGGCCGTTCCAATCATCTGTGACCCCGCTACCATTAATAAAGGCTTTACCCTGAAAGCATAATTTGCCAAAGATATATTACAAAATCTCCCTTTCATTAATTCAAGAAGATGGGAAATTGAAGTCAAAGAGTGCTTCAAAATTGTGTAAAGCACGTTTTGCTTACCCTATCTCAATATGATAATGTTAAATTAGTGCTCATTTTCTTCAAAATTTTTTCCAAAAAAGTCTTAAATATAGCATTTTTGCCCAAACAGTCTATATTAGGAGTTTATTTTTTCAAAATTATAAAGCACGCCGTCGCTTACCGCAATAACTCGACCATTGAAATCAACGTGAGTTGATCTGACACCCCTAGAAAGAACAATTACACATTCGTTAGATGAGAGTGTGTTGTTGGTAAAAATTCTCCGTGGGTATAGTAGGTTTGTTTGATTATCGTACTACTTATCTATAGAGCTAACTAAAAATTTCAAAAAGGCCTTAGTTAAACTCTAATGTCCTCTTTGAGAACCCATATCGTAACTATTTAAAATGGATTCTACCAATACTCTCCCATATGACTATAGTTGTTGAGACTCGATAAACTTGAGTTCTTCTGAAGTAATGAGGATTTTGTATCTATCCTCGTGATGACGCACATGATAATACGCAGGTGTTAAGTCAATTGTATCCCTGTGTCAAGCCCATATTAATAACTGTACACTCTTCCTGCATTTCTCGTTTTCTCAGGAGAACTCAAGTTGTCAAATAAGATTCACGTGGGATAGTATTGCTAGAATCTGTTTTCAATAGTAAGAATATGCATTCTTAAACAGGATTTGACTTGCTTTTTAGAACTTTTTGTTTTCTACTAAGTAAACATAACGTGTTAGAATAGTGTGGTTATGCATTAATAGTGGATGAGGTGTATGCTTTGGTGGTGTGAATTGTATTATGTTTAGGTATAAATATAGTAATGGGTTGTGTCTTCATATTTGAGTGATGATTCGGGCAAAATACACAAACAAAATCTTGCTCAATGATTAAGCGTTTGACTAACCATATAAAAATGGCATTAAATGTGGTCTGAGATACTCACGTGTCCATGACAAACACATCTGCACAGGCACCAGTCTCTTAAAAATAAACACCCATACGTTTTACGTTATATGCTCTAACTCAGTGATTCCAGTTCAATACAGAAAATGTTTTGTCTGAGAAATACACCATTCAATACAAGTACTATTGTTGCAACTCGTTATGCATTGTAAAAAATTTTGCTCTGATTATGTCACTACTAAGTATACTACTAAGTACTTAGTATATAAACCAATTGCTTGATTTTTAGCAAGTCTGTTTTTCAAAATGGTGACGTTGTACCTTTTAAATCATACCTTAGAAGCATTAATTTTACAATGTATGTTTGTAAAGAAAATATCCATTCCGACAAATTGCACCAGTTTTTACTCAAGAAAACAAGCTTGGGTATATTTAGCCATATTGATGATATCATACAGATCGGCTGTAGGTAGCAACCGTTTACTAAATTACTGTATCAGTTCTTAAAGCATTGTCTTTGAGTTGAAACTTTGCTACATAGAGGGGTTAAATCTAAACAGGACTGGAAGGGATGCAATGATATAACTGTTTCAATGTCAAAAAATTCATAGTAGTCTATAGTATAAATGAAACAATTCAGTGATTGGAAAACCGGAGAGTATACCCGTAGAGAACAAGGTAAAAAAATATCCAAAACCGAATTTTATTCATAAGAAGTAGCTTTATGATTTATGTAAACATTTTCATGCATAGTGTTTCCGCTTGTAATCGACGAAGATACTCTGTGTTAACATGCCTGCGATTACAAAATATCATGATAGCAGTCATTTGAGAACTTACCTTCATACAAATACTTTTGGTCAAGCGGCCTGTCTGGCTGGTCTACACGGTCGAGACCCTGCAAATGCATAATCTTGTGAATATGTCTATCTGTATATATAATACAGGGTGGTCCAAAATGTATTACTTGAACACAGAACATTTATTCATCCTCTAAAGTACACCAACATTTAACTGAGAATAGTTTCGTTTATCAGCTGTTTAAAGTATAGCTTTCACATTAGCCATTTGGATTCATGATCACCGTTCGTCATCGTGTGGCTAATTTCGGGTATTCATTCTTTAATTAATCAATTTATTTTTGTATTTGGTGTGATATGGGAGATGTCTTACTGTAAAACTATTTGTTTTACCCATCGTGCATCCATACAATGCCTAGTCGACTGGCCCAAGGTATTTTGAGTCCCCACGGCCTAAGTGTGACAGCTGTATAAGGTTTATAGGACCGATCAACAAACGTTTTGCATTAATTAGCCAATATTTGATAGAACTCCCTGTTCTAAATGTAAATTTTGCCGATATTTTTTCAAATAACCTTTCTTTCGAAGCTTTTAGGAACGGTTCGTTTCGGTAACTAGCGTAATCGAGCGGATCACCAGTGTCAATGAAACAATCCCCTGTAATGTTGAAATACTAAGTTAATTTTGATTTCATTTTCTTGATATCATAAAGGATTCTGTTTCTCAGAACAGAAATGAGAGTTGGTCTAACAAACCAGTGAATGCAGAGCAAAAATTATTATTTTGTCGCTTGAGTAATTCTTTGTTATGTAATGCTCACTTCTAGCACGTTCCTATACCTTCTAAGCACATTTTATCATTTTCTATTCTAAGCATTGACACAATTTTTCAACACTGTTTTGTCTCAGAAATGAACTTCCTAAATGTTCTTAAAAGCTTTGAAATGTAGAGTTTCTGAAAAGATTAAATGTGAGGTGTATCCTAAAGGGTAAATAAATTAAGCGTCGGCATGATTTAAGGCTCAGTAAAGACCCAATATGTTATATCAATTATTGGGTTTACATGATTTCAACATTATTCTTACAGAAACATTAGTTAATCTATCTCAATTTAATACTATATTCTTATACCGAAGGGGTCCCTATCGCAAAGATATATATTACAATAGGCAATATATTTTATATATGCTTTTACTTACTTTAGTTGCAGTACATTAACCTGTTTATTACTTTGGTTGGTGCTGGGGAGGCTGGTGGGCTTTCCATGCTATGAGTTCACAAACTGATTCCCGCCAAATGTAGTCACGTGACATTCCTTCCTTATCACATGGTCTATATAAATTAACTCACCTATGCACTTGTGCCATCTATACATCACTTACGAGATAGATTTAACTGTATGAATATCTAGTGATCTGAGACTCCAAAACACATAAATATTTATATTTCATATAAGTCATTTACCCAATTTGATGTTGCATCAGTAACTACACATGATCCCGGGCTTCCGGTCGTCGTCGTCGGTGCTTCTGTTGTTGTTGTCGTCATCGTCGGTGCTTCTGTTGTTGTCGTCGTCGTCGGTGCTTCTGTTGTTGTAGTCGTTGTTGGTGCTTCTGTTGTCGTCGTCGTCGTAGGTGATTCTGTTGTTGTCGTCGTCGTCGGTGGTTCTGTTGTCGTCGTCGTCGGTGCTTGAGTTGTTGTCGTCGTCGTCGGTGCTTCAGTTGTCGTCGTCGTCGGTGCTACTGTTGTTGTCGTCGTCGTCGTCGGTGCTTCTGTTGTTGTCGTCGTCGTCGGTGCTTCTGTTGTCGTCGTCGTCGTCGGTGCTTCTGTTGTTGTCGTCGTCGTCGTTGGTGCTTCTGTTGTTGTTGTCGTCGTTGGTGCTTCTGTTGTCGTCGTAGTCGTAGGTGCTTTTGTTGTTGTTGTCGTCGTCGTAGTCGGTGTTTCTGTTGTCGTCGTCGTCTCCGTCGTCTTCGTCGTCGTCGTCGGTGCTTCTGTTGTTGTCGTCGTCGTCGTCGGTGCTTCAGTTGTCGTCGTCGTCGGTGCTTCTGTTGTTGTCGTCGTCGTAGTTTGTGCTTCACTTGTCGTCGTCGTCGGTGCTTCTGTTGTTGTCGTCGTCGTCGTCGGTGCTTCAGTTGTCGTCGTCGTCGGTGCTTCTGTTGTCGTCGTCGTCGTAGTTTGTGCTTCACTTGTCGTCGTCGTCGGTGCTTCTGTTGTTGTCGTCGTCGTCGTCGGTGCTTCTGTTGTCGTCGTCGTCGGTGCTTCTGTTGTCGTCGTCGTAGTCGGTGCTTCTGTTGTTGTCGTCGTCGTCGTTGGTGCTTCTGTTGTTGTTGTCGTCGTTGGTGCTTCTGTTGTCGTCGTCGTCGTCGGTGCTTGAGTTGTTATCGTCGTCGTCGGTGCTTCTGTTGTTGTAGTCGATGTTGTAGTTGTCGCCGAGGTAGTACTAATTGTTGTTGTTGCACCAGTTGAGCACCATCTTATCTCTATTTGTTCTTTAAGTGAAAGTTCATTTCCTGTGCCCTGTTGAACATCGCCAGGATTCGTTGCAGTGGCGGGTAAAGTTGGAGGATTGGGTGTAGTTCGGGGTTTAGGCTTTCTAGACCTTCCTTTACCCTTCCCTTTGGATTCTCGATCTCCCTTTCTTCTATCACGCGAAACAAAATCGTCATATTGGTCCTCTTCTATGAAATCAACCATATCATCGTCTAACAACTGTATCAAATCCCTAAAAGGCACACATAGACCGTGGAATAAATGTTTATTTGAATAAGGTTCTAGTCAAATGAGGGCGCCTTTGTTTTGAAATGAACTTGTGGATCTTGAAAAGGGTTAGTGAGTTTAGAGAGTGCAAGAAACTGGAAATTATAAATAATAAATCGTGTCAAACAATATGGAATTCTGAACGTTCAAAGTGGACATTAGACGATGATATGGTTAACGTACGATATATTTACCCTAAGTACATAACAGAAGATCTTTGACATTTTACAGATACGTGTATGTTTATTTCTACATATAAAAGTCCAAAAAATATCATCCAAGATGGGACACCTTTCCTTCGCCCGAAATTCCCTCAACTCCCCAATCGTCATCGTATTGGTCTTCTTCAATATACTCAACCAAATCATCGTCTAACAACGACTTCAATTCCCTTGAACAAGCAGAAAACCAATTGTAGTAAATGCCACATGTGATTGGAAAAAAGGATAGATGCTATGAATGCCAGAGCCGAGTGAATTATGTGTTAAAGCGTTTAAGTCTATTCCAATGAATTAGGAATGAGCATTTTTGTAATTATTTAAAGCAAGAAAACAAAACTTCAATGAGAAGTTAACATTACGTAACCTATCAGATTTTTCCTCTTGAAACATTTCCGTGTGTATAATTACCTTTTGAGTAAGTGAACAACCAATGTCAATTGATTCAACCAATGAAATCATTTTAAACTTTTTACATAAACACTTACCGCTATGGTTTTCAAAAAGCAGTTTAGTTATTTAAGCAGGGATGATTTCCATTCCAGTTATGGACAGTGTACTTATAAACTCATAGATGCCATGGTGATCCACTCGATTACGCTGGTTACCAAAACGTTCGTTTCGGTAACAACATGTAGGAACATCGAAGGTACAATTTTTCTTTTTAATTTCCTTATTTCACACGTTGTAGGCAGAATTCCCACGACATTTTTTATCACAAACGTGTATCGTGGATTTAATTCCTCACTTAAGTGACATAAACGGTATTTCGAAAAACAGTTAAGATCTGCACTTTTAATTATACCCAAACCATTTATGTAACTTAAGTGGGGAATTAAATCGACGATTCTGTTGTCTTCTGAGCTATTTTTTCGCAAACATGTACATTTTCTAAATCATATAATACTGATACACGTTTGTGAGAAAAATAACAGCGTAATCGAGCGGATCACCAGTGAGATGGGTAAGAGAAAAGATACAGTATATCCTTCGATAGAAAAGCTGACTTGACAAGTTGACCCTGATGTTACAAATCTCGAATCAGACTCCAGTAGCGATAGTGATTGAAAGACTTTCTAGTTGAATATTTATAAAAAAAATCGATTTGTACATTTTGAGATGTTCCCTTATAGTACATATCCCAAATAATAATTATGCAATGATTGGATTTATGAAATTATAAACAGTTTGTTGAGGGGAGTAGTACATATGAAAGTATAGAACAAATGAAGTAAGAATGATCCATCCCCTGGACTAAGATCACATAACAGAGGTCAAGGTCACGAGGTAACTGGGACTTCATTATTCCACTGAACTTCAAAAGAGTATGACCACTGAAAACAACCCACAACCCACCCTCACAAGACAAAATCGTGTTTAATAACTAGCAATACCAATGTTACAACCATCTTACCCGGTCCTTAGTACTCGCAATCCTTGATTATTGATACACTTATCTGGAAGGTTATTTGAGCTTACCCGTTGGTATTGATACACTTATCTGTGTTTTTTTGGCCGGAATACTGAGGTTTATTTTTTTAATTATTGAGTCTTATTCTATTGCATTAATATGTAGTTGACTTTGTAACTACGGACGTGATATGATAGGTCTATTACATAATATGTATATATAAATATCGTGATGATTAATGAATCTAGATGAAGACTAATCATTAAAACAAACTTAGACGACATTTAATATTTAAAGAAAAATAATTTGATAGATAACTTATGCATGTATAAGTCTCTTAGTAAAAAATTTAAGGGAAACTGGTTTCGTGATTTAACAGAGGACAGCAAGGTATCAATGTTGTTGTCTACGATCCGTATTTATTTACAGTTTGTAGATTAAAGATCCTTATTTAAAGACAACGTCGTCTTTATGAATTATTTAAGACATCAGTAGTCACAGAAATTGATTATCCGAAGAGGATACCGAGTTCTGATCAGCAGACGAACAATTGCAGACATGGGCTAAGTTTGTTTATTTAACAGTTAGATTTGTTGACTTACTGATCCGTATTGTAATCTCTGGGAAGACGTTATTTTTATTTATTCTATACTTTGCATTTGCGTCCAATGTAATAAAGTTGATACTTTTATGAACAAGAATTTCATTTTAATGGCCATTTTGTATGCCTTTTATTTCCACACCATGTTTTGATTTTGCCTCGATGTAATTGTGTCATAGTGTTTTTGCTATAAAATTCAAGAAATGTCAACTTTTTAATTAAGGAATGTTGGTTACTCTCTTGTGGTAAATCAAATTGTTGATGATGTCAACGGATCATGAGGTAACACATTGTCCGGGGAAAGATATCAATATCAGTTGTATATCGGATAGAAAAATAAATATTATAGTAGATGCTAATTGTTTGCTCTGAAATAATGTGACTAATGACTATTCCAGCGAATCAGGTAGATATTTCAACGGTTTTCGCGTAATGAAAGAATTTAGTTTTCGTTTCTATTAATTTGACAAGTAGGGTCGTTGATAAACACATATAACTGTAAAAGTATTTATTGGAAGTACTTGTTTTAACAGTCTTTTCTAAAATCTAAAATTTAATGATAACAAAAGGATTAATTGCTTAGTTCTCTTTGTCTTAGTCTTTGTTTTCTTAAATGCGGAAGTGTACCAACATCATCTAAATTACATAAGAGATCATCTAACAGTCTAAAATTGCTTTTAATTGCAAGTTAATGCATTCCGATCAAATTTTGTATACCTGAACCAAGAAATGTAGGGTACAGTAGAAAACAATTGAACATAATGATACGACGTCGGATACTGTACATTTAACAATCCTTAATATTTTCCCGTCTGTGCATATCAGTTGAATATGACAAGGGGTTCTGTAAAAGAGCCTAGAAAGACGGTGCGACGGGTAGTGTTTGAAATGTCTTCTTTCTGGTGATTCTAATTCTGTTTCTCGTGACAAACCTTTTTGAATATAGAATAGTATTGAAGCGCACATTAATCTGAACAAAACTTGAATTTTTTAAGAAGATTCCACGAATATTAAAACGTTTGTAATTACTTGGAGGAGCATTGCGCGTATTCATCGCGTAAATGTTCGCATTTCTGTCGGTATCCGAACCTCATTGGAACAAACGACATCAACACAACGTGTTTAGGTCTCTCAATATTGTATTTGTTCAAATGGAAGTTTGGTTGATTTTTAAAAAGTACCTTGTTAATGAAATAAGGTTTACCTTAATTTTTATCTATTTTGGGGATTTTGTTTTTTAGTTTTTGCATACTTTTTGTTAAATCAACCAAAATTTCCTTTGAATAACTATAATATTGAGAGGTCTACAAAAATGTTGTATATGCTATTTGGTTCCAACAAGGTTCGGAAAGACATTTTATTTCATTCTCAAGAATTGGTAGAAAGGAACAAAAAACAATTACACTAAAAAACAAAAAAATGTTAACAAAAACAGTTATATAATATATATATATAAATATTTTTTGCATTAAATTGTTGAGAATCAGTCAACATTACATAAAGGACCGTGTTTTTTACAGAATATTTTCAATAATTGGTTAAAGAGAAAAACATTGTTCAATTCAGTTCACCATATCGATACCTATCCTTTGAGGATTTTTTGAAAATCGACATTCCCATGTTAACCAATGGGAAATGGTAGGTTTGCCCGGGTCATATGACAGAATATCCATCCATCCGAGATCTTGCAAAAAAGTTCAAGTTAGGTATTCAATTGAATTTGCTAACTTAAACAGGCAATACGCCTATTTTTGAAGGAAAAGGACAAACATATTATTTGATCAAATACAATAAAAACTTTAATTTCAAGTCAATACTGAAGTGAAACAAAAAATACTCGCATAGAAAAACACCATTTGAAGTTTAGAGATCAAAAGAAGTGAATTACCACTTTTGTATGTTTTAAATAACTCTTGGATTAAAAGATGGCGTATGCTTGAAAATCCTATCAAAACTGCATGGATAATTAATTTGCAAACAACAATGCCATCTTTCTATGACATTGCTAAAAACTTGCCATATATAAATTGATAGATCAAAAATATTTTTAATTATCTAATGTCAACTCTGATGTGGTCTGTTTGAGCTGTTTTTGGTGTCAAATGAAAGATCAGGTACTTATTAATCCATTGGAAATACTATGAAGATCAAAAGTGAGACTTAATTTGTGCACTTTGTCCCTAATTTCACAAGAATTGATAAGTTTCTTCGGGTTCAACAAAATAGGTCTTTAAAGTCAAAACAGTTTTTAAAAAAAACTCTCCCAGGATGCGAAAAATGATTTTCAAAAATGACTTTGAAACGTTAGTATTCATCAAGTAAACTAAACACTTAGTGTACAAAAATCTTTTACGGAATAGATATCCTGATTTCTGATTTACCCCGAACCCACCATTTCCCATTGGTTTGAATGGGAATGACGATTTTCAAAAATTCATCAAAATCATCAATTTTCGACCTATTGTAATTGAGGGAAAAATTTGGAAAATTTGGAGGTATTGGAAATAAGGTCAAGTTACGTTTCCATCAATATTATAAATTATTTCATCGCAGGATAAATAAAAAAAAATCAAACGTAAAGAGGCTTTAACACGTAGTTCAATAGGGGAGCTAAGGTTGCCAAACTTATGGAGGGGAGTGTACAGTTTTTTAGAATATTCATGTCCAGTTTTGTTTTTTCGACCATGGTCGGATTTTTCAGCCTGCCCTTTCAAAAACTGCAATTATATTCTCGAATCCTTGATCATTAACATTATGCTCCTTCCCGTGTTTAAATCATCAGACAGACATAATATATGTGCTGTTCATCCGGGACGGAAAGCTTAACAATTTTATAAACCACAAACACGTCCAAGTATGGGATAAACAAAATCCTGTGCATGTAATGATCATATTTTACTATAGAAATAAAACATGAATGGAAAAATTACTATGTTAATATTTTCTAAATATGCTTATTTGATTGTGTAACTTGGATGAAAAGAAAAATATAAATATTTGTTTTTGATATTACTGTAGCATTGGTTTCTATGAGAACTAAAATTTCAAAAGGTTTATTTTTCTTCTTGTGATTTGTAACCATCCTTTGTATTTTCCCATTGGTACTTACTTACACAGTATCACACCCGGTGATCGTGAATATGGGACGGAGGGGGGGAGCAGGCAATTTCTGCTAGGAAATTCAACAAATCTGGAAGATTTATTTTTTCAAGAAAAAGTTTACTATTGAATTGCTAAATGGATAAGCACACGGTATGGAAGAATATGTTAGGTTTTCTGGGATTTTTTCTGAAACGATACGCATCTAAGGTATGAGATCTATTAAAAAAGGTGCAAGGCCATCAACAGGCACAAATCAACGTTTTTGCTATAAATCAAGCAACGATGGTCTGGACGACCTGTAATAAATACTTGTGAAAATAATGAATTTGGGACGGAGGGGGGAGGGGACGGAGGGGGGGGAGCAATATGTATATAAGACATGATTAGAGATGTTTCGCGACTTTAAGTCCTTTTACTCCAAATGTCCCCATTTTTCCGTCTCCAGGGGTATATCATCCAGTTTCTTACTAAGTTAATGAGTTAATTTTTCAAATACAAGAATTCGTGTGAAGTTGTTTCACTTTATAGAATTATTATTCCCCCCCTCCGTCCCCCCCTCCGTCCCATTTTAATTATTTTCGATTATTTTTTATTTTACGTATGGAAACTTATTTTATAAATTCAGCAATGACATTAATTTAGTTATGATAACATCACTTACAAGTATTTATTACAGGTCGTGTAGTCCATTGTTGCTTGATTTATAGCAAAAACTTTGACTTTTGCACGTTGGTTGCGTTGCGCCTTTTTTAATAGATCTTATATCTTAAAAGAGTATCGGTTGAAAAATAATCCTAGAATACCTAACATATTTTATCATACCGTACGCTTATTCAATTTGCAATTCAATCGTAAACTCTGTCTTGAAAAAATAATTTTACCAGATTTGTTGAATTTTCTAGCGGAAATTGCCTGCTCCCCCCCCCCTCCGTCCCATTTTCACGATCACCGGGTGTGAGTATAAATATTTAAATTCAAACAATGAGAGAAAATTACAATATTCACTAAAGATAACACATACTTACTTTGGGTCCATACACGACAAGGTGTACGCATTAAACTTGTTTATCTTAATTGTTTTGCTGCGGAACTTCTTCCCCTGGTTGCATTTGCCAGAGCTACTAGCCGCTGACATGGTATCCATCTCTACATCATCATCAGTGAATAAAGCTCTTGATTTGGCTTTCTGGTTTTTAACTGGAAAGACATATAAGTTCAAAAATACATCAATTGATCAAAATCTATTGACTCAATTAAGTGTCACTGAATGGATTTCTTGATTTCTTAATGCACTGTGAAATCAAACTAACGACCTAGTTAGATTAAGAATCGAGCAACTATAAAGCTTGTGTTCGCGAATGCAAATAACGGCTGTCGGCTACTGGATTAACCTACTTTTTAAATGGAAAACCAGTTTAAATATGAATGGAATAGTAGCAGGAACTTTCATATTTAAATGAGTTGGTCATAAAATAATAGGTTAATTCGGTAGCCGACAGCTGTTATTTGCATTCGCAAATACAAGGTCAGATAAGGGATGGGTGCACTGCGTTCTCATTGGTCAGAAAGTGATAATACATGCCGAATACATGTCTAAGCTTGTATTCGCGATTGCAACTATCGCCTGTCGGCTACCGGAATAAACTACTATTTTATGGGTAACTCATTTAACTATGAATGGTACTTGCCACTATTCCATTCATATTTAAATGAGTTGGCCATACAATAGTAGATTAATCCGGTAGCCGGCATGCGTTAGTTGCATTCGCGAATACAAGATTAATGTGAATTTGTGTTATTGGTTGAATGCAGAATATAATTGAAGGGAGGAATATAAACAATAGAAACCATGAACATGGGCTTGGAAAAATAGATTGAAATACTGATCAGTACTTTGTAATTGTTATCACACACCGAACGAGGTTTGAGAGGGATATAGACAATTTTTCTATTGACGAGTGAGGGGATCATATTAAAAGAATCTGCTGACATGATAAAGTATCTAATGATGGGTAGAGACAGGATTTTTATATCAAAGTAACATTTTATATGTCATTTGAAGAATGTAATCCTATTTTCTTTACTTTATTGCCTATATTTACTGTTATTGAAAATTGTATATTGGATGTACGTTTGGCCCTAAAAGGGCATCAGTACTAATAAAATCCTATTATTATATATAGAGAAATCCTAGGTCTCCTCGTTCGTTTGTTCGTTCAGTAGACCGTCCGGTCGATAACTCATGAACATATTCTATTTACTTTGGTTCAACTTTTAACAAAGGAGTTTCGCTAAAGAAGAGATTTTCAAGATGGCCACTGATTTTCAAGATGGCCGCCATTTTTCGTAAAAATGTGTACGGATAAAGTCAAATGTGGTTCAAATTTTATACGCTCATGCCTAGGGAAGCAGGGTCTCTGCTTGAGAATGGATTTTCAAATGACTGCCATTATTGTAAAAAAAACATACTCTTTAATAACTGAAATACAAGTGGACGGATTTGGTTCAAATTGATATATGCTGATGCTGATGCCTAGGGACAAAAGAGCATTGCTCGAGAAAAAATTGCCTAGATGACAGTCGAATTTCAAAATGGCCGCCATTTTTCGTAAAAACGTAATCTTTGATAACTCAAATACCAATGGACAGATTTGGTTGGAATTCCATATGCTGATGCTTAGAGAAAAAGGAGCTGTGTTATTGTGTTGGCATTGGCAATGACTTTGGACTTGGAACACTGATTAAATGATTTTAAAAGTAGTCTAACATCTGGCCTGTCGAAGAAACTTGAGAATGGTTACAGAATACTACGTCATACATCCAATGAGATAATGGTATACAATGCGAAATGTTTAAAGGTTGCAATCATACGTCAATCATTTTCTTCCGTAATTGGATTTTCATTTGATCAAATGCTATTCTGAAAAAAACGATTTTTATAATTGTATGTAAGAGTTGCGATTGCCGTCATTACGACTTATGTAAATCGTTTGTTACCGTTCTCATTTCTAAATTAATATGAGTTAATATAAATGTCACATCCACAATCATAAAGATAGAACATAAACACCTTTTTAATTAAAATTGATTTTCTATTAATCTACTTGCTTTGTTTCTCTGCAGTTCTAAACTGGTTGATAGCTACAAACAGCATCAGAGCACAATTTAACACGTGTAACGTTCAACTTATGAAGCATTTGATTACGTCATCATTTTATTCCGCGGCTCTATTGAATTTTTATTTACTTAACCAGTGATGAAATAACTTATAATATTAATGGAAACGTAACTTGATTTAATTTCCAATACCTCCAAATTTTCTCATTTTTTTACTCAATAGGTCGAAAATGGATGATAAATTTGATGAACTTTCGAAAATTGTCATTCCCGTGTAATCCAATGGGAAATGGAGGGTTTCATATTTGAATACATGAAATGGGTCACTGGTTTTTATAGATTCCATTCAAATTCATATTAAATAAAATGTGCCAATAACATTACGCCTTATTTTATCTAATAGGATAGTTTCTAAATAGCAGAAAAAGCAATGAAATCTAGTGCTGCCATATTTTATTCAGCTTTTAATTTGGGCTAGAGTTCCATTCACTTACATGCTAAAATCTTGGAAAAGTAGCTTAATTTCATGATTAAAAAAGGTAATGTAAGTCATTAGAGGTTTAATATGCAAATCTCACGAAAAACGAGATTTAGCGAGATTTCAAAAGCTATATGGAAACTATTCTTAACAAGAGAAAACAAGACCACTCACCACTCGTGTCACTCAGACCATCCTTAAGCTTGATTATGTATTGTCCAGGTATCACATTCTTGGATTGTTTTGCAGACTTGAACTTTACATGTTTCCTTGCTGAAAGTTACATAAATTACGATTCGTTAATGCGCTCTTTTGAAATGTTAGCTTGGGTCGATTCAAAGGGATAATCTTCCTTGACTTGAGAAAAACACGACACCCATTTTTCACATTTGAAAGTTTTCTTTGACAAGTTGTAAACAATACATCACAAATGGTATTAATATTTGTAGAAATCTCGGTATTTATTCCTTACTCGTTCACCAATATTTATTTATCTTCATATTTGTATACAATTATTAATGACTGTCGGGCGATTGAATATATTATTATTATTTGTAAAGAAATAAATATATCTTAATAATAAAAAAGATATTCATCCCAATGCGTCTTTTTTATTTTATTACGTAATTGTCTGTCATTTAAGTAGCTAAAACTAGTAAGTGATTGACACTGATCGGAGAGAAACATCAGGAACATCAATGTATATGAAAACATCAAGCAAACCTTATTCTTAATGAAACAAATGATATTAATGTGTTTATACCATATGGATTCTGAATCGAGACCTCTAAATAAATGTATAATGGAACTGTAAAAATTGGTATTTAACTAATAAAAAAACTTACGCCTTTGTGCATGAATCAGTGAAATCAGACAGAGGAAAATCCAAAATATGTGTAGCTTATTCATAATTATAAAAAGTATAAACGCGACCTTCCTATGTTTCGTCTTTGTTTAACATTAACTTGAACTTAAGGATAATGTTATTGTAATATTTGTATAAATATATTAGTAATAAATAAAGTTAGTAACGTATTATACACATGTATTAGCATTATAAACAATGCTTATTGGATTGTAACGCAAATATACATATTTACAGGTTGATCACTAAGCTCTGGGAATTTATCTGTCATTTCATTATTTTTCAACGAATTTACTTGAAATTTTCAAGGTAAATGGGAAAAGTAATTTTGGGTTGAATAAAACAGTCTCATTGTCATGTGATATCACAATGGATAATCATTGTTACTATAGCAACATGACAAATGGCGTAGCGGGCCAAGCAACATTTGAATTCATTTTTATTTTGCTCGATCCAAAAGTATGGTTAATTAATACCTCTTTTGTGGACATATTTCTGTGATTTCATTTATGTTTTCGAATACATCTAGCTTTAGCTTCTAACGTAACATCTGTACTGTGATATAGTCGTGTAATTCGCTCTCTTTTCTTATCATTCGTCGGACTCTCAAAGTCAAAACCATGACTCAAAAAAGCGGGGAGTTATCTTCCATCATGACTATGCTCCTTCCCACTCCTCAAACTGCCCACACAACTCTTGAAGAATTGGGGTTCACACAAGTTGTTAATGCCCCATATTAACCGTATAATATTCACCACATGAAGCATCATTAGGCTTCACGACATCTGGGTGTTGAAGCATCATATGAGAATAAAAAAACTTCAACAGCTTGATGATCACCCTGTATATCACAATAAAAAACATAGTTTTTTATTATAGCAAATCGTTCAATTCAATATTAATAAAGTGTGGCTTTTGTATACGCAGTTTAATGTCTCTGTCAAGCAGACAATGGATCAATGGATGAATGACTGGGGGCTGTGTCAATTTGAATCAATTTCAATTCTTGTAAACATTGAGAATTAAATTGTAATTAAAAATAACGTATAGGTTGACCCAAAAATCCAACTTTTAGATTTGCATTCAAATAGACTAGGTACGAGTAGAAAATTCATAATTTACGTCATTAAATATTAAAAAATCATTCAAAGTGATGTCATATTTACATGTAAAAGTAACGTTTCGAAAATTGTTTATCAACTTGAAATTTAATTTTTTTAAATGTGACTTCTAGTTCGGGGAGATTTCCTATAGACCTCATGTTATAAAATCACAAAAAAAGGAAAAACCTTTTCATTTATTGGACAGGTAACATTTTCTTTTACTAGAAATATTTTAATTTTATAACTATTAGATACATAAGGGTGACGTGAAAATTGAACCACTAAAACTTTCTACTATACCCGCCATGCTATCTGACCCGACCAAGCCACTTGGTGGTGAAACTGGTACATGTAACTACCTACCCGCATCTTACTAATTGGAAATATTTGATAAATCAAGAAATTATGCGACTTTTATCAGTTATTTGTTTTGTCAGTTATTCTAGCCTGACCACAACTACAACTGCCATCTATATTCTATACATCCATCTTTAAAGCGACTAATCTATTGCATGTTTCTATTTAGTTTGCACTATATAATTACCCTGCTGTGTGCAGAGTCTAGTTATAGGCTGCCCTTGAAGATGAAGCTCTCTTTTGGGAAGCAAAGTCGAGCGAATGCAAAGGGTGCTATATAATATATATTCACCTTTTTCTTCCCACTCAGTGAATAAACATAGAAAATTCAACTTGACTAAATAGATGTCAGGTCCTCGTTCAATGTCTGTTTAAAAAGAAATGGGTCGAAGTGGTTTATTTTCATTGTAAACCTTTGAAATGATAGATGTGATAGCATATGACATGTTTTACAAAAAACGTATTACTTACTGTTGTATTTTGTTACCATTTTTGATGTTTTAGAGAATTGATACAATTTTTCCAATTTTTGCACTCTGAATCCTTTATTAACTTCACCAACTTGCTATATATCTTAGATCTCTTTGGAGATCTTACATTTGCGATCATAAGGAATGGGTTGGTAGGTGAATTGTACATTTTGCTTGCAATTTTGCCACCCCTATAGATCTGTTTCTGCCCTTAGGGTTTTTGGTTTGCCTAACTCATGTAGTTGTATTTAGAGGGTGTTTAGTGAATATTTATTTTAAAATCAGGGGTTTGTTGTGCAAGAAATATTACCTTACTAGGATTTTGCAATAAGCTAAAAACTTCATGGTAGTTCAAACAACACAAAATATTTTTGGTATGCACTATTAAGATCACGATATTCTATCGTATTCGGCGAATAATCTTTTTTCATTCGTTTTTGATTTAGCGCCACAAACGGTTATTTGACAAATTAAACCTTTTTTACACTTTATTGACCGTCAAATAAAGTTCCGATTGTACTTTTATGTGCTTATCATTATCAATATGATTTAATATCGCATTTCTTGAAATGGGACATGTTGACATTATATACGTAAAAACAAAATTCTGATGTTGGGCTAAAATGGACAGTTTATTTATACAACTTAATTCAGGTATATTGACTAGAATACAAATTGTATACCGCCCCTTAATGTGAAATTAACAATAAAATCTTAATTAATCTGTACAGGTGTTCAAAATATAATTACAGACATTATAAGCAAATTAAATAACAGTTAGAAATAACATATTTGGGCGGATGGGTGGGTAGGGTCGACCATATCCACTATAAAAAGAGTTGATCCCTACGCGTCACTACACACAAGTAAATTAGTGAATACAGTAAAATGTATTAATTCGCACATAAATACATACTAGTGAATACAGTAAACCAAACCAATGGTACTGTACTAAAAAAAGGTCCACGTGCAGTATGGCAAGTGATTTTAGACAGCCATATCTTTCACCATGAGTACTTTCTGGATATAAATACAGTGGTTTTTATTAAAACAATATGTTTCCTTTAATGTGAAGTCCCCACGGGTATTTTAAATGTTTTATTGTAATCACTGCAAATTGTCTGTTCTTTCTTACTAAATATTTGAGTTTTTGATTGCGTATTTATAATCAGTTTCAATTTATCTTTTTCTATATAGCTTTGAAATCTCGTTTAAGTCTCGTTTATAATGATATCTTAGGAGATCTGCATTTTTAACCATTAAAGACTAACATTTTCTTCTATTCGATGGCCTATTTGAATTCTGTGTGTAATTTTCTGTCAAAACAACTAAGGACAGTCGAGGGACGTGTGTGTATTTAGAAATATATAAGCACAAGTGCCAAAGGAAAAAAGAGTAGGGTGCTTCCTCTGGTGTGTCTGAGCGTTAACATCAGCTGCCTCTAGTCAGATTGACTAACAAAACAACCTTTTTTGGAGTTGTCGAGTTGGCCGAGAGGGCTTGAGGCTAGGCGATTGGGGCCGTAACCACGAGGTTGCGAGTTCGAGACGCGTGTGCTCCTTGCGTTTATTCATTTGATTTGCCCCGCTATTTACGTTTATTCAAATTTTAAAGATTTTCTAGTTGTTGTCTAAAAAGGTTGAGCTGAATCCCCATTGACACCATATTGAAAAACCTTTAATTTACTCTTGTAAGGATCACAATTGTAATGTGAAATCATAATCTGCATGTCAATAACATCATAAAATTACATTCCAATGGTGTTTTAAATTGATCCAAACGGAATTACTTGTTCGATCATGAAATTAAGTGACTCTTCCCAAGTCATTCTCTTATATTCTAGCCGACCAACACCCATGATGCCATCTATTTTTCCATTTATATGGAAAATGGCCAGTGAAGTATGTATGTATTTATGTATGTATGTATCTGTGCTCACTTGTGGAGATGGTCGATATCCATATCCACTCATAGATAAAAATGATATCCCCCAGAAATCCTAGAACAACTCCATATATTTACTATACTTTAAGTAAATTGTTAATTAAACTGGATATCATATCGTATAGGTATTAAGTAATTGGTCCGTAAGGCAGGATCAGTAGCCATGTTTGCATTTTGTCGCTATAGAGAGCATTTTGAGTCAAGGGTCCATTTTGAATGATATTTTTTAATCATGAGAATTTTATTTTATTTATATGTTACTATCAGTTTATAATAGATGCAATCATGACTTATTTGACCATATAAGCATTTGTACAGCAGTTTCTATAGTGAATAAGAATTATTATAACATACCTATGACGATGTATAGTGCAAAGTGTACACAAGACAGCGGGCCAATATAAGTTTTGAAAAGCCCGCGCCCGCTAACTTTCTGATTGGTCAAGGCGCTGACGTCATAACCAATCAATCGAAGATAAAACTGCGCGAGCAATTTTTCTAAACTCATTTCAATCATTTTCAAATCATTTGTTTGTCAATTCTATAAGAAAACGGTACTCTCTCAGTCTGACCAGTCTACATCATCATAGGTATGTTATAAATCGTTTATGTCACTATCGTGGCACATATGCCCTCGGTTCTCAGAGATCAATGTCCCTCCCAAGGTCGGGCCATATATCACTGAGATCTCGGGCATATATGCCACGATAGTGACATAACCTCTAATTACGTCTTATAATATTACCTTTAGTATATCTAATTTTATCTTTCCATCTACTCTCTTATCCTACTCTCTACGTTTCGCTGCCTCGCGGTCCACAGTCGCAGAATGGATGATCTTTATAAGTCAGCATTAAAATATCGGTTCATCGTTCATCATTCGCATCTTATTAAGTAGGCCTGTGCTTTAAGAAAACGTCAAATAAATTATATTTTTATGCCAAGCCCACATTTTTATACTATTTTTATTTTAGGTTTTGGCCCACCGTCTAAATGATTGTATTTTCGTCAATGCTAATAACTAGGAAGTAGGGGGGTGCAATATCCTAACCACAACGTCGTTTATTTATGGTGTTACTATCAATCGTTTTCAATTACAAAAAAATGAACGATGTTATTTGTAAATATTTCATTGAAACGAAACTTCATCACCACAAATAACTACAATGTATTTGTGGTTGGCTTAAAAATTATACCACAACCTGGTCAGAGGCCGGGTTAACTATGTCGGCTCTTAAAGGCGCCAGTAAGCCCTGAAGCTGGCTTACGACTGAAAAAGTCTTCATTCTGCAGACTACTCCTCTATTGATGCTTGCATTGTTTTGTTTTCTTGAAGAGTATTCTCTACCTAACAAGCTCCATCTGTCTTTGAATCAAGCGACTTATGCAGGATAGCTAGCTAGGTATTAAGTTTATTAAGTTTCACAAATGATAGCGTTTTACAACGGCTAAATAACTGGCTAATTAGGCCTAATTGGCCCAGGCACAATGGCTGAATTCCCGGGTAGGGGAATGGCGCTAGCTTTGCATTGGGTGGCACCTCGGGCTGACAAGCAGCAGACAAATTGAATTTAATTGATCCTCGTGTTTTTCAACAAAAATTAAATTATAGGATTCAAGTCAGGCAAATTAAAGTTAATTAATATATTTCTAAACGATCAGAAAGCGATAGAGTTGTTTAGTTAAAAGTATCTCGGAGTCGTCTTTTTCATTCATAAATTCAAGCCTCTCATAAATTACCAAAATTTAACATGTTACGTCAGTCCTAGGATGAAGGGCAAACATTGATTTGGATATATTTTCATTGCTGCTGTTCTCTCAAATATCCTAAATGTTTAATTCGTTACAAGAAACCACCTGCATGATTCAGTGTTATAAGTTTGTCACAAAGTCTATTGATGGTTTTACATAATTGCTGCATAACAATTTAATTTTTATAAATTGTAGAATCAGAAATGAACCTTATTACATTGAAGTTTAATTAAACAATTAAACAAATGATTTGTAATTAGTCAAATATATAAAATGAATATATGTAAAAAATTTCCATCTTAGAAACATAGCGGGTGGAACGGAAACCATTTTTGCTATATAACGGAAATCTTAAAAGATCAAATATACATGGAATGTGATTTATAAGATTACTTTAGAATTGATATTCGAGAGTAAGGTCAGAAAAAGTCCGGTTGCCAAGGGGGTGTCTACCCTTCTTCCTAAACTGTCGGCATTTTTTTAATTATAGATCTCGCCGACACAACAAACACGAGATCCTTGTTAACGTTATGAATAAATGTTTTAGCGCTATTAAATTTTAATTAGATTTAATATGTGAAGATGTTTTTTCAGTGCACTCAAATTGAATTAAGTGATTAGCGTGTTTTGTGAAAGAACCTGCTATTTTGAATAAGCGAACTGTCAGTGGGGGAAATTAGTGTCTTATGTTGTCTTTCAGAAGATAGGTCCAATTTAACGACTGGGTGCCCCGATTCGCAGAGCCCGGTTATAAACTGCCACTGGGCGAGGATGGGAAACTAACGAACGCTAATTGGGGGTGAAACTACAAGAATAAGTTTAACCAGGCGTATAATTCTTTAAAAACCTGTCTATAGGGGTGTTTAATAAGCGAATAATATTGGCTGTACATAGTGTATAGTTAATGTGTTACTAAGCCTACCTTTGCCCACCCGTGTCTAGAAACATACAAAGCACATTACAAGCATTTACATGACTACTTTAAACAACCATAGGGCGATTTACAAAAGATCCCTGCTCGACCATAACTTTCAGTTCACAGATATTAAATGATGATAATTTGAAAATAATTAATAGGTTTTCGAAAGGACCACATACATCATAAAAGCGAGTGTTCTTTTGCCTTTACTTTGGGTATCACAAGAAATTTTAACTCAAACAATATGTTCCATTATATTTGATGGACATGAGAGGTTTGAGAAAGGTATATATTTGGCCATACTGGATGCTTAAGTATTTGTTTCTTTTGGACATTGCGCAAGTGAGTATGTAAAAGAGGTTCTTATAGCGTCCACTTATCCCTTTAGCGCACTACTAGACCGCTACCTGAGAACAAATAAAAACAAACGCACAATGGACGCTCGTCATAGTTTTCACAGCCCCAGAGGCTTGACATTAGCGAATCATTCAAATCTGCCTAATCCCATCAGCAAATCCATTTGGTCGATATATTTTTCAAACATTTTAGAATAAGAAAAAAGCAAGGAACTTGAAAAATCATAAATCGAAGGTCTAATCCGACTGGAGAGTTGTTGAAGGGCCCTTCACTATGTGAGAGTGGCTCCACGAGTCGGGCCCTTTCTGTCGTGCCGTTTGAACTTGCACTTATAAAGACAAATTTTATAATTTTATTTAATGTTCTAGACATTGTATTAATAGAGATATATGGCTGAAGGGAACCGTGAAAAATGGGGAAAATTGAGCGTGAAACCGATTTTTCATCGGCTTAAAATCTGTATGGAATTTTACACGTTTGTGGAACACAAATTTCTTGTTCATTGGGTCAGTTCGGATGTAGCGTGTATTGGTTTTCGAAGAAAACGATTCTATTATCAAATCTATGCAAGTTCATTAAGCATGTAAATAATGGCAATTGTATAAAATATCCACTTGTATGCTTTCTCTATTGGAACCGCTTAATTTCATTAGAGAGATGCCTTAACAGTGTATTGTGCGCGCATTAGGAACTGCGCAAATCTCTTCCACCTGATTGGTCCGTGTCTGGCACATCTATTCATTATCCGACCCTCCTACCTCGTTAATAAAACATACCAGCAACTCCCCACACCAATTGTTTACTCTAGCAGTGAATACAGCTACGATCGCACTTTCTCACTCTCAGTGGATCCAGTAGGAAAATAATACAAATTAAATTAGATATATAGACAGACAAACAAATACATATTTACAGTCGTGGTAGAAGTTTGGAGCTGCATAAACAGTTACCTGAAGTCGATTGAGTGAAAGCAAACGTTACATTTAAAGTGTTACCTGTCTTCTATGTCTCTACCGATGAATTTGATCAGCAATCCGAGACAGACACAACTGGAGCAAATGGAGGCGAGGGCATACGGGCAGCCTTCACAGGGGCTTCAAACGAATACTTCTGCACACATATTTGGCATCGATGCCATCCTGGGGATAAAACAACAACAACAACAACAACAACAACAACAACAACAACAGGAGCATCATCAGAGACACCAAGAGACACCAGAACAGCACTTGTATATGATGCAGCAGCAACAGCTCCAACCAAGGCCATTGCTAAATGAGGCGGAACCTCCAATCCATTCCAGTGAGCACATCTCCGTCAGAAGTTCCCATTCTCCGCAGAATTATGGTAAGTGAGGCCACTGTACATGTGTATGGTTGGTATAATGTTCAAAATGATGACAGAAGACTAAGGATCACTTGAATGATATACTTGGCCCATTTAGATAAATGGAATATCAAAAATGTGCAATGTCTAGATTTTTACAAAGTACAAATTATTTGTTTGAGATAGGTTGAGTTCCACCAAATAGAAGAGTAGCGCATGTCAAGTTTTAAAAGGTGTTTCAAAGAAGAATTGAAAAAATGCAATTATCATTCAATCCATAAAAAAGTATATATTTAAATACATCTACCTCAATTTAACCCTCGACTGCAAAAACATTTCTAGAAATTTTATTGACTCAGTGAAAATTGGAGTAACTCACTTATTATTCATAAACAGTTTTAATATTTTTCAGTAACTCAAGTTGTACAGTGAGTCGACTTTTTAATCCAATAATTAATTGTTTTGATTGATTAAAATTACGCAGTTATCATTAAGTGATATTAAGTATGTTGGACGAAAATCGTCCATTTAAAACATTCCCAAAATGTGGTAATGCTCTCTTATTTTAAGAGGTTATGGAAAATACTGGCTGGATTGTATTTAAAAAAGTTTTGATTGTCTCTTGGGCAGTTGGATGATTTTGGAGAATCGAATGGAATATCACTGAGCTCTGGCCAAGAATAGAATATGTTATTAAGTGTTATGTTTTTGGGACCCCATGGCTACCTTTGAGTGTTAAACTGTTAAGTCTTGATTCGATATCGTGAGTGTATCAAATTAAGCAGTTGTGTTTTTGTGGTAAAGGGTTTGGTTATGTTTAAAATATCTCAATATGAGATAAATAAAAAGTAAGGAGAGGACATTTTCTGCTATAGTCAGAAATATTGTAAAATTGCACATACATGTACATGTCCAACCCCCGTTACTGCCCCCCCCCCCCCCCTCGAAAATAAAGTGAAAGGTCACTCAAACACATTTCATGTCAAAGCATTTATCCTTTTCCTGGCCAACCAGAACTTATTCATAAAAGGAATACAATCAGTCATGCGCGGATCTTTCCATTTGTGTTCCGGTTAGTTGTTTTCTAATATTGTTCACAATATTATTACAATTTTGTTCCTGAAGTAAGACCTTAAATGTGTAGTGTACAAAGAGCACTAAGTACAAATTTAAGACTTCGAGAAAACAGGGGCGAAAAATATTGACAGAAATAATTTGAACTAAAAATGGTAATTTTAATTTGCCATACATATATTTTTATGATTAAAGAATGCCAGCATATTTAATGTGTCGCCTCAAAAAGCTTCAAGATTATGAGAAAATATAATTACTATTGGATTCATCCAATATTTGTAATTGGATAATTCAGTATATCAAATATATTAATTTTGACACAAAATGAAACAAATCTATATTCAACATTACAATATAAAAAAAGTTAGCTACTTGCTATTTTAGAGTTCACTAAGGTAAGGCGGAACAGAATGCCAGCTGTAAATGAAACCCTACATCGGAATACATTTAAATGTCTCCAGTTCTGACTCTCCATCGACTATGCCTGGTTCAACTCTTTTATTGTGGACATGTAGTATATCGCTCCATTGCGCTTACCAGTTTCATTTTCAATCACAGGTACCTCATATCTTCGTAATCCAAGATGGGGAATGTTAATACCACTGGAGGGGAAAGGAAATTATTACAAACATCATGATGATACAACTCATTTATCAAAAGTGCAAGTTTCGCTCCTCCTCCTTTGTGCATTCAAGATGTGTTTAAAATCGACACAAATATTGAAGGAACTTTTGGATTTTGGTTTTCTAAACACTATTTTGTTTCTTATGGCCATCATTTTTTATTGAAAATATTCTAGGAAACAAATACTCCTTCGATTTAAATGTTTATTTTCTTCAATTTTCAAAAATATACTATGGGGTCTTCCAACAAAAATTCTTCAAAGATTATTGGCCAATATTTTAAAGAGAACACTGACGTTTTAACGATTTTTGTGATTTTATAACATTGCAGTACTATTATCTACACGTTTGTTTCATTGTGAATGGCTTGCCCATAAATGTTTCAAAAAGTTCACTGGGTCAATTCTTAAATCTTCTGTGGGAACCTGTCAAGTTCAAGGTCACCTTAACAGGAGGTTTTTCAAATAATATGTCAGAATAATAAGCTCAACATTTTTGCAATTAACGACACGTTTCTTTCATTTCCCAGGAATTAATCTATAGAGTCTCCTGAACTTTTTTTTAAATTTTTAGTAAAGTTTCCTGGGATAAATTTCTAAACCGGATATCTTCAATACAGTTATTTTAGCATGCTGCTAGACAAACAATAATATTTTAGTTGTTATTGTTAAAAAAATAAACTACTTTTGGTGACGTAATCAATATATGCCGTGTATGGTATATGGGTGACAGTGTTTGTTCAGATAGTGTGAATTGAAAATTACCAAAAGAAAATATGAAAACTTTGTATGGTACAAGTTTGCAATAAAAAATCATAGATTTTAGGGGAAATCTAAGTGTACCAGTTCAATTTGAAATAAGCTTGCACTAATTTCAAGTAGTTTCCTTACACTCCATTCTACTAAGAGAATCTTACATGCTGCTAATGTTTACAATTTGCGTATGTTTGAACGTAACAGGATTTTACAAAATACGAATTTGACACCAGAATACCAAAAAGTGGTCAGATGTTTATCCAAATTTCAAATTGTGATCACAATGACACATCTTTAATCACACTAGCATAAACATCGTAATTAATTGTAATCGTTACATGATCAAAAACTATTTTCCAAAATTGACAGACTGTTAAAAACAGGGTTTCTCAAGAGCAATTATTAATTGCTGATTATGAAGACATAGCTATGATCGTGCCTGATTGCGTTTCATTATTATGAATGTAGACATTTATTTTAAATTATAGGAATATGCCAATTACAAAAGGCTTGACTAGTGAGAATCGACAACTCCATGACAATATGTCATCACACATTGATGTCACAACAACTTATAACTAAATCCAATGCTACAAAGAAGTCATTCAGTGTATTTATTGCTTATGTTATACTAAACCGACGAGATTTTTTACTCTTTTAAAATGCAATCAAACATGGCACGTGGCCTGGGTCGAAAAATCATTGTTTTAAATGTGTTACAAGTGTGGTACCCTAGTTTCAGGGTCTTATTGTAGGCCATCCATTGGTATGAATTGATCGTAGACCTTTTGTGTCTATTATACAATGTGCATGACATTTGGATATATATTTTACATAACAATTTGATCTGAAAAACGGAAATAATAGCAGTAAGAACTCTTTTCAAAATTTCAAAAATTCAAACTCCAATCTGTTGCATCATGCATTGTTCTAAATGGCTTATGACGCACCGCATCCCTGCGTTTCATCAATATCTCAATCCGCAATTTGCATTTGTGATTGACTGTTTGATAATGTAATATTGTAGTACAATTAGAAGATAATACAGTGATAATAATGTAAATTAAAGATTATCAAGAAATGCCATGACCTTTGTAGTTCTTTAATGTTTAATGAGAAATTTCAGTTGGGCCATTGTTTTTCAGTAAGATGCTTGCGTGCACGCCACATCAAGTTTCCTCTCAACGTCAGGTTTTAGAAAAGCGACTTAGCGAATTAAAACTTTCCGAATCGTTTCAGTCTAAATCCTAAAGTGATGAAGACGTGTAAACGAAAACACTTGTTCTAGATCTCGGCACTTGTCAAAAACAATTTCACTCAGCACTTATTTTAAACACTAATTCCTACTTAATTTGCTCTTGTCACATGCTAAAAGTGTAACTATGTCTTATGCTATAGCTAAGAGGTTTAAAGTCATTATAAGCCGTTTCCGTGTCTCTAATTAATATCAGATCGCAGCATTTATAAAAAACAATGACTTTTTATGTTGTATATTTAGTGTTTCATATTTTCTTAATCATTGATTAATGGGAATTTAATCACGAAAATTTAGCACATCTGACATTATGTGAATAAAGCAAGTCTTTACAAAATCCAAATAAATCAGGACAAATTAAACATTTAAACAAAATCTAAGAATAATAACCCCAACCATTGAAGAAACCAATTTCTGAAAAAATCATAATCTCCACTTAACAACAATAATATGAACATAACGCGCGATTGAATGCTCCTCTCCAAATATTTTGCAACCGTTTTGAAATTATTTTTCACCAGTTTCATCAGGTCGACGTTTATGACAAACCATTTGATGATTTCTAAAACGCCAATCATACACACGCTTATTAATTCTTAGTCCAAAAGAAGGCGGTATTATCATACTTTTAGAAGGGGGTGCACATGCCTCTTTCTAGTCTTTTACTTCACTTTGTCAAAAATATACATGTTTGACCATTTTGGAATATATCCATTTAATTGAAATCCATTTCTATAAATCGGCTTCCCTGGTACAAGGTGAATAACTGAAATGGCAAAGGAAGATTCGAGCCAGATTATATAATTTATTTACACATGACATGCTTTCTCAAGCTGAGATATTTCGGTTAGTCAAACAATTATGCAGCTCAACGTTGTTGTTTTTTCTAAAGACGACAGAAATGTATCTATCGTTAAGCTGACAAGTAAAACTTTAATAAGAAGGAAATAGTACATCTGGTTCCTATTTCCATTTAAGTTTTTTACACATACAAGTGTACATAGAATAGTTGTAATTGACAGGTAGTTATCCTTCAATACAATGTTCTTTTAAAGTTGGCAATGTGAATTTGTTTTTAAAGCACAGCGTGTGAAAACATGTTTCCTTCTAATTTCAAGTTTCAAAAGTTTAGATCTATTGTTGATTGGCAAATGACGATATTCCAATATGAACGCATATTGGGATATCGATGGGAACATCGTGGGGATTATTCAATATCTTGCAACTATTGTAAAGAACAACATGGGCCTTTTGAATTGCGAACAACCGCTTACATAACGAAGCCAAACTAGATAAAATGCCACCAGGGGGCTCCTCAATATATTCCCTCGTTAACTTCATTTAATTGAAAAAATAAAAAAGCACGAGCCCGAACATATTGAATTAAGTGGTTTTTACTAATGTCCTATGAATTTCGCCTTGTTGGTACAATTACCTACAGTGAATAAGCAACCAATTATTGCAATTGTAGTAATTATTTCGTCTGGAAGTTGTCAAATGTTCAAATGTATCCTAGGTTAACCAATACAACTTGTCAAATGTAAAACACTTTGTGCTTACGACCCAAGAAGCGCATGGCGCCAAATTTGCCCCGTGTGACAGTCTAAACTAAGCCAGCATTCTAATTTGCATTTATAAAAAGTTTATCTTGCCAGAAAATCTCTATTCATTCAGAATAAATGTTGTCAACAAATTGGTAAATGGGAAATTGAAATGATAATTGGAAGTATGATTGTCATTTAAATAAACAAATTGCACTCTGTAGCCACTTTTATAAGGAAAGTTCAACAAACGATACAATATTGCGTGTATTAAAGTATTGGCCTGATATCATTTTATAATGTTATTACCTCTCCCGCCCTTGACATACACTAAAAAGAAAGGGATGGGGTAGTGACACTCAGCCAAGGTCCACTTTCAATCCTCTATACACATAAGTTGCCCATTTTCCACAAGAATTTCCCACAAGACTCCACGCAAGAAATTGATTCATTTTTAATGGCTTTCCCATGTCGGGACATTCAGTTTTCTATAGGCAACATATAATTATGTTCCAGATGAGAATATCCAGCCAAACACAAATGATATTCTACACAGCGATGACTCTGCCAATGAGTTGGATGAGAACAAACACACAGATGATGACGATGACCAGCCAAAGAAGAAACACAGACGCAACAGGACCACATTTACGACGTACCAGCTCCACGAACTAGAGAGAGCGTTCGAGAAGTCGCACTACCCGGATGTTTATAGCAGAGAAGAGCTTGCATTGAAAATAAATTTACCAGAAGTCAGGGTCCAGGTGAGAAAAAGAATAACGATAACTTTCAGAGCCAATTGCCAATAGCTATCACTCTTCTCATAAATAACACTAAATATCTTGATTCATAATAATATGCTTCTTGAACAATCAAGACTTGACCACGAATCTACTTTTCTTAAAGAAGCTTGAAAAAAGCCTTCAAAAAAGCACAAGTTCGAATTGAAAAAATCTGCTAACATCTTTTTCAATTTTGAAAAGCGATTAATTTGATTTCTACAATTTCCAAAATTGATAAAAATTTATAATCAAAAATATATAAGGGCAATAAATATCTATATCACATACGAAAAGTGAAGGCCTCATTTGATAAGATTCGGGAAATCTTAACTTTTAAAAAATACTCTAAATGATTCATTATGCAGTTTAATTAGATGCCCAAAAGAGCGAAATGACTATTGACTAGAATGCAAGTTGTGAGACTCTTTCGTGATTCTATCCATGATAGGATAAACCTGGGGAAATCTAACTTAATGAGGAACCGGCCCATAACATTTTGTGCAGTAACGAGTGAAATTGTAAGATTCAACGCCTGAGTTAAACCGATAAATCCACATACAGTAATCGAAAGAAGGTTCCCAAGTCGACGCCATCCTAAGAGTTGCATTTCTCCTAAGGCATGTTACCATGGTAATCCCCCGTTCTAATCCCCCAAGCTTACCTGCTTCAGACGAAATTTAAAACTAATTTTGCCACGTGTAAAGGATTACAGGTTTGCCTGATTAAGACGTCCTTAGTCTGGCATGAAACGTTTGTCTTCAATTAAAGTTTATTTCTTTATTTCTTAGCAAAAACCAACATTTGAATTAAAAACAGTTTTTCATCAATTTGCTACGTAAACAAATTGAATGTAAAATACGATGGTGAAGATATTAGTTCATTATCTTTCTATCTGTATTTTCCACTCCATTGGTTTCAATTTAATATAGCAATTTCATCTCGGGAAAGCTTCGTGTTATTCGCATGTGTCGCTCTGTGAAATAGCATGAGATCATATAATTTAATCAAGCAAGCACATTTATTTTCATGTTTGATCGTTCACTAGCAATCTTCCTTGTAGTAATTTGAAAGCTAACGCCACTGGACCTAATAAACCATTTAATTATAGGTTTATTATTTTTGCCTTTTTCAACCCTGAAAAACAGCAGTTATAATGAAATTAATTATTTTCCAATCCCAGTTGAACATTTGTTATTAAGAGACTCAGCTACCGGCGATACCTTCTTGAATATAAATTTCAGTTCTTGAAGAATTCGGAATTTAGAGGTAAAACGTAATATTCAGTGAATTTCGCAGGGTTCTCTGTATTGTCTCGGGGACAATACGCCGCCCTCTAGGCAAGCAATAATTCAATTATAGGCCAACTTGAAAGACGCTGTTTCTTGAGAAAAATGGAGAAATGTGAGCCGAATATTGATATAATAACGTGTATATATTTCCCTCTATTCACCGTGTAGTTTCATCGAATAACAACAATATAAGCTTATTAATAATTTCTAACTTATAATTAGAGTCTGACTGGGACTCTCCAGGATGATTTCTATTTCATGAAAATTCTAATACTCTTTGCTACTTTAAACAGTATTGAACATTTAGTGGTAGATAATAGAAACGCCGTTTTGGTTTTGTTGTTTTATGTTATATTTAGTGAGCATACACAAACTCTATGATCGATATAATTCATTCAATTAAAGAAACGCCTTTTATTGTTAGAAATTCAATTGTACAAACGAACATGTAGATTTATTAAGACGATAAAAATTGCACTTTAATTCAGTTTATTTACTATTTCCTTGTTGGATATGTTTTGAAATGTCATGATATAATTATATACGTATGCTGATACTGTCATTGATATGATAGTTAAAGGAAATATCAAAATCATCTTAAAATGCATGAAATCATAAAATGAAATCTTAAAATACGTTACATCTTTACATATAATGCGAGTAAATTACTGATAAAATAACATAATAAAATGTCAAAATAAACTAAAAATAAAGGTCGGATTCGTTTTATAGAACATTGACATACAATCAAACAAAGTAAACAATGTAATCTCTGACATACAAGTGATCAGAAGTTACATAATATTTAGGCAATTTCGTAAAACATATTTTATAACAATTCTTAATCCAAGGACACTTACATCTCGCATGTTTACTATAGCTTGATGTGGTGTCTAAGTGACTGGAGCTATAATAATATTTAGGCAATTTCGTAAAACATATTTTATAACAATTCCTATTCCAAGAGCACTTACATCTCGCATGTTTACTATAGCTTGATGTGGTGTCTAAGTGACCAGAGCTAAAATAGCATGAGATTACGCCGTAATTAAATGATAGTAATCACAGAAACTCGCTTATTCACTAATTGTATTAGAGAGACTTCTGATTGGTTTGGACAGAAGCTGCTAAGCCCTTATTAGAGACGTACAATTAGAGAGCAGAAATCAGAAAGATTTCTTCATTAGGCAATTGCATTATGAATCGTTACATATGATCCATTCTTAATTAAATCACTTCGAATCATTAAGGCTTATGCATTACAGTATACAGGTTTGATTTAGGACAATTTTAGTACTCTTATATCACCCTATGTATACAGATCGCATATTAAGACTTTTGCATGACTTGAGGAACGACATTTCACCAGGAAAATAGAAAACAATAGTGTCGCTGTCACTGTCTTCTGTATCAATTTAATAAAATAACATTATGATTTCTTAATAAATGGTCAGTGATCACATTTAGTTCTGTGAGAACATCAGAAAAACTTAACGCGTTGATTACTTATGGGTTGAAGCGAAAGGGAGATACAGTATACATTGAATTTTTAAAGACCAAATCATTTTTGTAACAATCCATGATATTATTTCAAAGTTTCATGATTGGTGAACCAATAGGAAGTTACACATTATTAATCTCCCCAAAACACATTCTCGTCATAAAGAAAGTTTTGGGAAACCTACATGCAGAATGTAGTATAGGTCTGGATAAATGTTGCTCTTGATTCACAATATTCAATTCTACATATGTCATTTTGATTAGCCGCAAACTGGATGACGATAATTGAATTTTATTAATCGAATTTCAACACCCTTTGGATAATGTAAAATCAAAGAATGGACTCTATTAACTCAGTATCATAATGACTGATTATTGAATCAACCGTATAATGGGACGATAATAGAATTCATTGTCTCATTTGCGACATATAATAGAACCTAATACGGCACTATTTAACGAGCTCACTTCTGGTAACTTAATTAGCGATGTAAAGATTTGAAAGTAACGGTATAATGAGTTGAACTGAAACATATAATTGGCAATCAGCAAAATCTTAATTCTTAGAGACATCTTATCATTATTGTCAGTTGTTATCTTGCAATTGAATTCTTTGAATTCTAATTCAACATTAACTTCGGGGATTTTGGGTTATTTAGTATTTTATGATGAGTGTTCCTGTTGTAACCGTTTGTAGTTTCCTGTTGTTGTACATATTCTTGTACCTGTTCTTTCGTTCGCCGATTGGGGGTACGTATCTTGATGCGCAGCACCAGGGCATGGCCACCATGCAAATGTGCCAAAATCACTCCAAACTCGCTCTCCTACTTTGCAACATTTTAAAGCACCAACACATTTGGTGATGCTCTTATAATAATAGTTCGTGTGCCGCAAACCGTATATCTGGAAACAACTAACTGAAGTCTTAGGTCTGAAGTCAAGCATCGCTGATCTGTACTCAAGTTTGAGTTCGAGTAATGTGTTGCACAGCTGCAATGAAACACTAAGGGCAAAGAGGAAACACTCAAATGTGCGAAATCGAACTATTGAAAATGTAGTTGCAGCTAGGATTCATCCTTGGTTGCAGGTACATCGGTGCATTGGTCTGAATCAGTTATGTGCATTTGTCCGTCTGAGATGGTCTGTTGTGTAGTGTTCAGTGTACCCACATGATTAGTCAGTTCCGTACACTGGAATTCCTCAGAATTGGCAGCCAGTATGACTAATTTTTTACATTACACATTGCATCGGGATTGCTGGCATCTTGATTCGTCAATGCATGACTGGAGGAATACATTCGTTTACCAGTAAGGATCAATGATGTGATGTTCATTTTTTAGATGTCAAAATTGGACGCACACGAAGCTGCCTTCAAAATTAAAGAGCGCGTTGACGCGGTGATAGAATGACATTCTGTCGGTCGCCAGTTAGTGTGTCATTCGAACCGTTGTATTCAAGTTTGTTTTTGGAAGTGTTTTCAACAGTATCTTTGAACATCTAACGGGAACACGATACAATTGATACAATATAGTCTACCTCTAAACCCCAGCATGGAATAACTTAATTATAGTAAATAAGTTCAATAAAATAGGCCTATTAATGATATCTCTAAGAGGAATATCGAGCCCACAATTGTGATGGAGAGACGGTTGCGTGACAAGAAATGTTTGAAATGAACAAAATCGCGCGTCTAAATAGACGGAATGACTGGGGGTCTCTGCGCAGGTGGTTTTCTTACAGTGTTACTGATAATTTCTTGAGTAACGTTCCCATCTATTATGCCAGTCAACCCACCCGACAGCAATAATTCAATACACTCTCATTGTGTTCAATTCCGTTCAATTTGTTAACTGAATCCTTTAATTAGAAGTGTAATTTCATTAATTTGCAATTTTATATATTCCCGATTGGAAGTATTTAACAATGGTGTATTATCGATAATTGCGCAGTTGAATGCCGGTAGTAGTAGTAAATTCAAGTTGTACACGGATCTCGACCGTTTAAATAAGGAGAAACACTATCATTTCAAATTTCCTCACCACTACTATTACAGAACAATTGTTTCATTTGTTGCAGTTTGCTTGTTAAACTATAGATGGGGTTGTCATACTAAAGTGGCCCCATATGTGCATATCACACTTCTAATTGGTCAGCTCAACTGGCATAATTAGGATCCATTTTAGAATTAGGCATATGTCATACTAATTTAGCGGTTTGGCAAACAAGATATCTTACTTAGGCACATGTCGTAATTGCGACAGAACATGCATGACTCCATACTAGTTGCAATTGTAAGAAATCAACCAGAATGCGTAATAAACTGCTACTTAAAGGTAGTATCAGATCTAACAAGCAACCTTAAAAATTATCTCAATTTTAAAATACGTTGGGCTAATATCATTTATCAATAAGGAAAACTTGCACATTTGTGGAAAACTGATCACTTTGAATTTTAAATAAATTCACCGATTGATAACATTCCGCGGATCTTTTGGGAGATGAGAATATAGATGAAATGGTACATGTTCTTGCAATTTTGTCACCCATAGCCTTGATTCTGCCTTTAATCACTTTAGAGCACATTGCTACATTGATTTTGAATGCTTATAAACAGTTAAAATATATCCCAACATTCCAATGAGCATCAGGCCAAGTTCTTGCTCGAAGAAAACGTTTAAATCCTATCATCAAATAGATAAATACGACAATCAAATATAAATCAATAACTCTTAATAATGAATACCCTGATGTGGTTATCCAATTATTTACTGTTTTATCTATTGGTTCTTTATATGTCTTAATCGAATTCGTCTTTTCAATTTGTCATACAATAGAGCTCAGTTTACCCTATATACCAACACATAAAAGACTGAGTCTTCATAATACACTCTAATCAACGTTAATTCATAAATAATTTTCTAATAATTTTCCGTCCATTGAGTGAATAATTATATGTCGATTAAAGTCTTACTTCAGCCAAACCTAGGGACACCCCTGACCTGTCTAATAGGTGGCATAATAACACTAGTTAGCAAGTTAAATTCGTTAATGCTTGAAATTTAATTACACGAGTGTTGTCAACTTGGTGGTGCTTGAGACAATTTGCCTAACAAGGCATAACAAAGGGGCTAATGAGGATATGGGGCCCCGACAGCCATCTGCTGCTGTCAGCGATATGATGGCATGTTTGGCAGTTTGGCAGGTTCCATAAAAACCTCACAAAAGTGGTAATTATTACATATCAAACGATTATAAATTCATAGGGGCAATAAGAAATAAGTCCTCATTAAGTCTAAAATGATTATTTCATGAATTATGCATTATATTTTCAGGTTTGGTTTCAAAACCGCCGCGCAAAATGGCGTCGTCAAGAGAAGATAGAAAGTAGTGCCTTAAAGGTGAATGAGAATTACCCAATGTCAACAATCACTCCGCGGACTCCAGGAATGACAAGCGCTTTACCACTTGACCCATGGATGACTGCGCCAATGGCAAGTAACGCCACTCACATGCATAACTTGCCTGGGTTCCTCGGACATAGCGCAGTGCCGTATACAAGCTATCTCAATCAAAGTAGTTCTGCATCATCATCTGTAACTTCAAACATCGTAGTCACTCCTTCAATCTCTTCCTCTTTGGAAGGGAATCAAATATTTGGTGGAAAACTATCAGATGAGACTAGCGATCCCCGCAATACAAGTATTGCTTCTTTAAGAATGAAGGCAAAAGAACATATGAATACATTACATAAAATATTTCCGGCCCATCCAGGTTTACTATGAACATATTATCTAACAAATTAGAGAATTGTTTCCCTTGTTTCATAAAAAGGAAGTATCAAGTATATGGAAAAAGCAGCATGTATTTAGTACAAATAATTTTTCAAAAGAGACAATCGTGATTTGTATATCAAGCACAGTATGTGATTAATCATGTGTTTTAATATAGTAGTTTGTTGAGACAATATTGTATGAATAAATTCACGTCAATCACCATATAACTTTCTCAACCAGAACGTGGATGTGTGAAAGGCAATCAATCTAATTTATAAGAGTACTGTTGATAGTGTGAATTAATAGTTCGTAAATGTTTGTATATTGTACGTTTATTGTTTTGATGTAGAAATGGATTTTATACTCTATATGTTCATATGATATTTCATCAAACAGAACTGAATTATATACTAAGTAAGTCCGACCTGCCATCTGTTATAACAAACGATGAAATGTGAAATAAACTGATCGTGAATGCTTTTAGCTAGGTACGATTGAGTCTTGGAGATGAGTTGGTCTTCACATCATGGGTTATCGTGCAATTCGTGCATGTCATCATGTGCTTTGACTTATTGTGATAGAGGATTCGCATAAAAGATGGCAGTTAAGTTAATAATATCTTCTCTCGGAGAACATTCACGTATGACTACGCTACTGCCATCTTTGTATCGATCTAAAAAAGAGGGCTATGTGAAGGGTTAATATGTGGGTAAGTTTGGAGAACCTACTATAACAGACACCCTCACCAGACTTAAAAGACACGAAATTGCAACATATATTGTATTAAAGTAGTAATCAATCAAGATGCGACATCACACTTCCCAATCGACCATAAATCCGGAAAAATTGTCTTGTTCTTCCCTGCTGAGAAAACATAAATGTTGAAATAAAGGGACACCGATCATAACGTGTAACGGTGTATGTAAAGGCACTGGCCGTATGAAAGATATTTGTGATTTTAAGTTTGGACAATCATACATTGATAAAACTGCGTTGTTAGATTCTGGCATGTTTGTGATATTACATTTTGTAAATGTGTATAAATAAAAGTATTTAAATAAAGGTAAGAAATAAAATAGCAAAATGTGTCACTTTAGTGTCTTACAAATGCGAACATATAATTTCGGGGAGCGATTGAATCTCCTGATATTAAAATAGGGTTTTAATCTTGTTAGCATGATTCGATCAAATCCTAAAGTAATCGTGTCATTTATTTACGTATACACCTCTTAAAGATATCCACTATTTGTTGAGTTTGACCTGCCATCTATAGACAGGTGTCTGCATTATTTTAGACAAACAGAGGATGAATAACACCAGAGTTCAAAGATGACATACGCTTATCCTGTATTGAGATGACATACATCTCTGATTGGTCAAAAGTCGACAAACAAATGACGTCATCAACGGCGGTCTCAAAATTTTCGAAATACGCTTCGAATAATATTATGTTCATTTCCGGCGTGTTAACCAACATCAAAGCTTCTCATTTCACATCAAGATCAAGAAAGGTGTACGGAATATGCCTATATCAATTAAAATATCCCATCGAAGTGTAGTATTTGATAACTAGCCGATGAAAATTCGAACGAACGAAGGTGGTAAGCAAGAGACGTAATTATGTCTGTCATCTTTAAACTCTGGGGCTTTCAATTGGCAATCATTGCATGGTTCCCAAGTGTGCTTTTCATGACTGCCACATATAATAGAGGTCACTTCAACAGCAATTAATGCAGTCGCAAAATATTCACAAATGTTGCCTTGATTTATGTCACTTGAAATGTTAACATGTGTTGAATATAAATAGGAAAGGCTCCACGAATAACTGGCTCTGTGTATAGATGGCGTGCATCTTCTATCGCATCTGCCTGTTGGAATATCGCTATAAAGTTGAGTTTAAAAGGTATATGATTATCTACCTAATATTAAAGATTGTTTATATAGATATCCAGAACCTATTAATCATCTTTAGATAGCTACCGTACCACACCAAATCAAATTAAGAACTGTCAAAACACGATAATAATGAACTTTTTGTTTATATTGACCTAGGATGAAGAAAATAATTAATTTAAAAAAAAGATTCTTTTCTTTATCTTAGACATTGACACACAATAATTACACCGAGCGAAACAGTCGGAAACTGACCAGAAAATATTGTCAAACAGATCAGCGAATTCTCCTGTAATAAAAGATGAATACTTGAAATAGCCTTTCTGATACACATTGCATCTAAAAACCTGTCTGTCTTCAGTCGATCTGAAGAGAGGGCCATGGTATTTCATGATATAAAATTACTCCAAATAGGTATCTCTGTTGTATTGAACAAATATTTCACTCTATTGAGGTGAATACCTGTACATCTTTCACAAGTGATATTCCACGAAGCCCGAAGGGCAAGTGGAATATCACCTTGTGAAAGTGCTACAGGTATTCACCGAAAATAGAGTGAAATATTTGTTTTATTATATCACTGTCTAGCTAAACATCCCTAATATTATTAAGTCATTAAGTCTTCAGATATTTTTACGAATCTACTCGGTTCGTCTGCCATTTTGACTTAAACTGAACTAAATTATTTACACTGAACGAAAACAAATTCTTTGAAAATTCCCGGGAGCGTGGGATATCGCTAGATATCTCACGGTTGTCTTATCTGGTTAGCATTGCCATTGAATATCGCCAGATATCCCACGACATGTGACCCGGTTTTGACCAATCATACTGTCGCTAGCTAGATAGTGATATAATAATGAATCGTATCGTATCGTATCGAGCGTATTAATGCAATGTACATTACATTATACTTTATTTTAATCATTATACATAAATTCAAATTATATTTACGGCCTAATCGCGCAAATGGGCATTAATAGCCGTTTTGGTGTTTTTACAAGTTATTTTATGCCATCTATTGGAGGCGTTTCAGTTATTGAAACTATGACATTCATGTTTATTGGATTCATCTTATGTGCGCGTCGCTTTTTGGCTATTTGGAAAGTTCAGGACAAAGATTGGGTGAGTAGTACAGCGATGAAAAAAGTTTCTTTTTTCTTTTTTAGTGAAAAAACAGTTTCTCCCAGGTGATGTAACAGTTTGGCGTCACGTCTTAGAATGTGATCATTGTATAATAACTAGCTGTATTCATTACACTCTGCGTCCATCACCAAATTCGCACATTTTTCTTATAAACCTGTCCTTGTTTCTTTTTCAAAACCAACTTTTTAAGCTGGGAATACATGTGGTGCTAAGAAACTAAATGCACAAATGATTGTCAATTCTTAACGATTGCATTCTTTGGACCTCCAACTTTCGTGTAGTCACATAGAGCTTTATTTTGTAATGGTAAAGCGGTGTAGTCTCATAAAGCTATATTTTGTAATGGTAAAGAGGTGTAGTCACATAAAGCTATATTTTGTAATGGTAAAGAGGTGTAGTCACATAAAGCTATATTTTGTAATGGTAAAGAGGTGTAGTCAAATAAAGCTATATTTTGTAATGGTAAAGAGGTGTAGTCACATAAAGCTATATTTTGTAATGGTAAAGAGGTGTAGTCACATAAAGCTTTATTTTGTAATGGTAAAGAGGTGTAGTCACATAAAGCTATATTTTGTAATGGTTAAGAGGTGTAGTCACATAAAGCTATATTTTGTAATGGTAAAGAGGTGTAGTCACATAAAGCTATATTTTGTAATGGTAAAGAGGTGTAGTCACATAAAGCTTTATTTTGTAATGGTAAAGAGGTGTAGTCACATAAAGCTATATTTTGTAATGGTAAAGAGGTGTAGTCACATAAAGCTATATTTTGTAATGGTAAAGAGGTGTAGTCACATAAAGCTATATTTTGTAATGGTAAAGAGGTGTAGTCACATAAAGCTATATTTTGTAATGGTAAAGAGGTGTAGTCACATAAAGCTATATTTTGTAATGGTAAAGAGGTGTAGTCACATAAAGCTATATTTTGTAATGGTAAAGAGGTGTAGTCACATAGAGCTTTATTTTGTAATGGTAAAGCGGAATAGTCTCATAAAGCTATATTTTGTAATGGTAAAGAGGTGTAGTCACATAAAGCTATATTTTGTAATGGTAAAGAGGTGTAGTCACATAAAGCTATATTTTGTAATGGTAAAGAGGTGAAGTCAAATAAAGCTATATTTTGTAATGGTAAAGAGGTGTAGTCACATAAAGCTATATTTTGTAATGGTAAAGAGGTGTAGTCACATAAAGCTTTATTTTGTAATGGTAAAGAGGTGTAGTCACATAAAGCTATATTTTGTAATGGTTAAGAGGTGTAGTCACATAAAGCTATATTTTGTAATGGTAAAGAGGTGTAGTCACATAGAGCTATATTTTGTAATGGTAAAGAGGTGTAGTCACATAAAGCTTTATTTTGTAATGGTAAAGAGGTGTAGTCACATAAAGCTATATTTTGTAATGGTAAAGAGGTGTAGTCACATAAAGCTATATTTTGTAATGGTAAAGAGGTGTAGTCACATAAAGCTATATTTTGTAATGGTAAAGAGGTGTAGTCACATAAAGCTTTATTTTGTAATGGTAAAGAGGTGTAGTCACATAAAGCTATATTTTTCAATGGTAAAGAGGATTTGAGGGATGTAAAGCAATGTTACAATTGAGTTTCATATAGTTTTTTCCTCACTTTCTTCATCGAACTCCGTCCATCTCTAACTATTGTACAGAAGATACCGTGTACGTAGGTATCATTCATCATGCTATCCATTATTTTCAGCTCAATTTTGGACAAGTATAGGTCACTATTAAGTTACCTTGGATGGGGATGCGTTTACCGATCCAATCTCATCTGTTGTGTTTTAATCATAACAAAACGAGAATATATACACTTTTATAACATCATAACAAAATTAACATTTATTTTAGATTTACGTATTATGAATGGGAATTGAGATTCAACAATGCATAATTTGTATATATATATATTATATATATTATTATTATATATATATTATTATTATATATATATTATATATATAACCATAGTGCATCACAGTCAATCCAAACATTACAGTAACCCACATTACAGATAAGTATTTTCAAGACAGGTCATGCAGTACTTGAAAACTAACAAGTCCTTAGAAAATTAATATTAATTATTTCATTTATGCTCCGTTTACAATGTACAATAAATAATAAAAAATGCGAGGTGCAAATATACATGGGAAACCAGATAAACAACCCCCGATAATATATATATATCAATAATCATAAAACTAAACCACAAAACATTAAAATTTTCTTTAGAATGTAACATACATTCAGAAGTGTTGTTACAATCACAAAATATACCAAACAACGCCTACAAAAACGCCAATCTGTAGTCTAAGAATACTAAAACTCTCAGGAGAACAAGCCACTGAATTCAGAATACTAGTTCTTGTATTTGACATATAGTTTTATCCTTCAGTCCATAACTTCTTATGATTTTGTATTATAAGTTATATCCCTCTTGGCTATCTTTTTACACCGAGATATAATATTAAATGAAATACTTTTTTACATTTTTGAATTGTAATTTGTTTTGCTAATCATTATATTCCATGCATGTTTCCCAAATGTTGCTCTTTGTTTTGCTTTAAGTCAGGAAATATACTCCATAAGTAAACACAAGAATACGTTTCCCACTAAAAACAAATATACATGTCGTCAATATGACATTTTAATTGGCTAATTATAAAAGGATGCACTATGAGCAACATATGAAAAACACAAAAAGGCAAATTTTACCCTTTTAAAATTATTGTTGAGAATCCAACGTACATTTTTGGCAATAAGTATATCTGTTCATTTAAATTTTCATGAACGTCCCAGATGCAGGAAAACTCATTTAGTGTAGGGAATAAACATGAATTCTATGAACATCGATGCAAATGATTTATAATTGATAACATTGCGCAAAATGAGCGCCAACATCGATCTTGGGGGAGATTTCGTGTTTCTTTGATTTAAGGGAAAGCGAACACACGTTATCAAACTTTCAATATTCAAGGCTGATGTCACAAACATGGCTATCAGATAAAGGAATTAAAGTTATGTAAGTGTTGTTGATAAAAGTGTGTCGAATATATATTCTAACCGTTTCACACAGATCTAAGTGTCACTGTATGACCGTATCTTCTCTATCGTCATAATCGCTAGCTCTGACACAATTCAATCCCTCATTCGTCGCCCAAAATGCCAGTTTTATCGGAGCCAACATGTAGTGGTGTGGAGTTCCGTCATCCGGCTTATTCAATTATAAATGCCAATCATTCTGCGAATGTTGGCTGTGATAGCGTAAAGCCATTCTCAAGTAGACTGCCACTAGTTGCAATCTAAGCAACGTTTTAACTAGAAGTGAATGTTTAAGTGAAACTTTAAACAAATGTAAAGATTTATATTTGCTAAGTATTTACTTAATATAATCAATGAGTATATTTATAAACATCATAAATGCGGGCATAAATGCTATTGACATTGTGATTACCCCCACCAAACTTGGACATTATATTAGTTAGAATAATACTGCAGTTCATCATATTGCAACTGGATCAATAGTTTTAAATCAAATTAATTATGATTTTGTTATTTCAGTTTGATTTGTTCCCATGATGTTATCATGTAAGCTAGTAGAGTGTTCTTTAGCTTTTAACCTCAGTATATCAATGCTTGTTTTACGTGCATCAAAAGTGTCAGATTCACCAAGTCTCGTCGGTGTAAGATTTAACGGCGATATTCTCCCTTGTGACGTAACCATTCCCTGGGGGAAGGACGCTGGGTGAAAAAGTCCATAATTCGGCATTTTGAGGGCTGCGGGCATTGGGAATTGCATTTTCCCTTGAGCGAACTGTGCTGAAGTTGGCATACAGAGTGATGGATGTGCGCCTGCGCTAAGACCTTGTTGCAAGGCCATCATTGGATTTAAGCCAATCAGATGCTGAATTCTAGCCATCCATAGCGGGTCGTGATGGGCGTTTCCCATCCCAGCGAATGGATGAGTGAGGCCGGGCATTTCTCCCAGTGGAAGCTGGTCACCGGGAATAAAACTAGGACTTTCTCGTCCCATGGCCTTCTCCCTTTTCCTCCATTTTGCTCTTCGGTTTTGGAACCAAACCTTCAAATAAAAACAATAATTCATTAACTGATTTATAATTGTAAATATCATGAATGCTGGCATTATGGTATTTTTAAACATAAAGAAATTTAATAATTCAGAAATGAAGTGGTTTAGATAATGTATTTAAATATTTCTAATAAAAAATATCAAATTAAACGGGTACCTTGTTAACGTATTGTGTTTAATACCAGTTATTTTTATTAGTAATATATTAGGGTATTAAATAAATATGAATCGGCACTTGAGATATCATCATTATATACCAATCAAAAATTTGTATTGAATTGAATAGCGTGTTGAGGTTGAATGCAACATTTCCCATGACAGATTTGTATAGATTACAATTTTCTAAAACATATTAATTGGTCTTGTTTTACAAATTCAGATTTTTAATTTAAGTCACTCGAGATGCTGTGCCAGGTTTGGCTGTTTAACTCCTCACAGTGGGTGATTTTCTTGAGTAGCAATTGGAAACACTATTACACTAAGTATCAATTTTCTCCTTCAAATATCTCATTTTCCAGAACAAATAGAAATAGTTAAACTTAATTTCATTAAATGTAAATTATCTGAACACAGTAATACGCCAAGAATTGATCTGTACTTGGAGTTCTTTGATAGGCACCCCCTGTCGGATATGAGAAATTTAGTCATAGAATTGGAACTCAATTTGCGGCCTAATAGACCTCGTGTCTTGATTTCCGACACCAAGCTACTTGCTGAATAAGCACCCCTAATATGTGAGAATAGGAACCAATTAGACCATAGTTAAAAGTGTAGCACACAATTGAATTTCCTTCTGTAATTTAATTTATTGTGTTACAAAGAATCAGAGCAGATTTCAATCAAGTAGAATTGGGAAATATGACACATTATATCCGATACTGTGTCCTTCGTTCAATGAGACTGATTGATACGATGGAATACTATTTAACTATGATAAAACGTGAATATGTGTAAATTGCAGTTAAGATTGAACAATTATTGTGCATTATGGAGCTAAATTGACGATAAACGAGTTTGGGAGTAAGAGGAATTAGCTAAATTATTGTTCTTTGATTCCATTCCCATTACCTACTCATTAAAGCTATGATTGATTTTAGAAGAGTCTGCGGGGTTTTGTTCTCCTATCTTGGTAGTTATATATATGAATCAGATCATCAACGGGCAATTATCGAGTATTTGTACTAATAAAATCAACCCTAGAACTTTGAATTAGATCAATGTTTCATTATGATTCTCGCCATAACTCACTAATACGATCATATTTTCCAAACTAATTTCAAATGTTGATTGATCATGAAGTCGTCCAATAAAGGGAACCCTCGATCAGATTTCATCTTTACGTTTCAAGTATCTTAAAGTAATGATAAAATTATTATGATTTTCTGTTAGAAATTTTAATGACCAATTTAAGTAGTACCCTCGAAGGGAAGAATGTTTTAAATAAAAGAAAGAATTTCCAATCAAATTAGGCCGGGAATCGTTTCATTTTTGGAGTATGCCTTTTTGCCGGAAGAGTATTAAATTAATTGGACAATTTTGTTTTTATTACTCACAGCTACGGTTTAAAACCCACAGAGTCTGGTTAATTCGATATAAAACATGATATATAATTTTGATTTGATGATTAAAGAACTTGACAATAGTTTGGCTTGCTGTATTAAGATTAGAGGCTAGTATTAAGATGAAAGTTTGACCAGTTATTATCCCAGCGTCCGGCCAGGAAATCTTACTGTGGGGACAAACACGTATACCTTTGAATTGTTTAATAATTTGAACAGTAAGACGCAGTCAAAGGTCATGTTGAGTTAAACCATAGTTAGTGTTTCTCTCTCTGTTAGATATATCTACTATAAAGACCCTTAAATTGGCTACCCCTGCTGTAAACCCCATTGGTATCTCCCTAAACAGTATATACAATTAACTACTTTTTTACAGTTAAATACAGTTAAGCGCTGGTACCCTGCGTTCAGCGCCGTTAGTTAATAGCTAGTTAATACACTAATGAGATGGTTAAACTACAACTTCTATTTTTGCTATTACATCCTCTGACCAAATAGCAATAAAATCTAGATAAAAACACCATGGTGATTTTAAAAGTATAATTAAACAACATGAATGATTCGTTGTTGTAATGAATGATTTGTGGTTGTTTATGAGCCTAGTCCAGGTGGATGCAAACGGTTGCCAGAGTACGTCCAACTCATCGATATGTTGTGTAATCAATTTGGGTTTCTTGTTAACCATTGAAAACGCAATTCAACCGAAATGAAAAGACAATTTGATAATGATGATTTGGACAAGCACAGATGAAAGACACCATCGGATGTATTACATGGGCCACTTAATCCATATACTTGACACTAACATCGCCAAACAAGTCTTGTCAAACAAACAATAATTAAATGATTTTTGTATAGTAATAAAAATTGAGTGACAATGCCAAGATATTGAATCGGGTAATTGTGTCGACCAAATGGAATGTTTTCTGATAATACACGGAAAGTGTGGCAATTTTTTTAATGTCAATCAATATTTATTCATTTTGACCATTTGGCAAGTGTTGAAACTTTGTTTAGTTTGATTCTTTACGCTTTGGTATGTTACTTTACATCTTAAATCATGCCTTTTCGGTTGTTAAAGAATTTTTTGAACATCGAGCAAGTGTTTTTAAGTAATGAAAATGTTGAATGTCTAATATTGTTTGACGCATTGCCTTTTTGAATGTCATGTCCGTGTTTCCTCAAGCCCTTAAAAGTAGCAAGCGTCTCAAGAACCACTATAGTTGTATCATAAATATATATTATTTCTTTTTTATAAGTTTGAATCTCAGATGTTTTGAATTTTTCTTACTTTGTGAATTTTCACCAATTATTCTTTCCAAAATATTTAACATACGTTAATTAATCAAAAAGTAAATCACATCAAATCACTGACTGACATGCCTGTAACTGTAAATAACGGCATATCATAGTCTCTATTTTCTGTAGTTTGGGCTATTAATTGCATGATGCTGCTTACGTCGGCCAACAGTTTATATATTTATTTCTAATAGTGATAATTACTATAACCGCAGTATAATAGCAATATCTTAAAGATGAGCAGGTGAATTTGATATTTTATTAACTGTTTGTAATTGCTATAGTATTAGCCCTCATGAGAGAGACTTAATTAATTGTCTATATATCGATAATTGTATCTCAAACGCATCTGTTTTCACACAGAGAGCGGATTAATTTGTCATACATAGCAAATAGTCCAACACTGCGTCTGACAATGTCATTTAATTGTCTCTAGGAAGAATTCACTAAAATATTTATCACAAATATAAAGAGTGCTAATTAGTTTAACAAGGTGCGTTTCCAGTTGGAGCGAAAACACTCGGGACTGACAGCGCAATAAATTATACAAATTATCACGTTATACATGTTTTCGTAAGATGCAATTCATGATATCATTATTAAAGTTTCTAGTTACCTGCACTCGAGCTTCGGAGAGGTCTAGTCTCATCGCAAGTTCTTCCCGGGTAAAGACATCGGGGTACTGAGTCTTCTCAAAGGCTCGTTCAAGCTGATGAAGCTGGTACGTTGTGAAAGTAGTTCTACTTCGGCGAATCTTCCTACCAGGCCTGTCTTCAGGATCAGCCGAGTCTGCCTCCGAGGCTCCATCACCTGGGGATCCTGAAATGTTCTCCATCATCTCAGCCTCTCTCTGCATCACGGACTCATTTCTTGGACTAAGCTGCTGGCTATACGGACTTTTATGCTCTTGTCCTTGGTCATCTACATTCAGAAAACAAGAATATCATATTTTACATACAGCAAGTCTAATATTAATACTTAGTAATAATAGTATTTACATATTTATCAATAATTTAAAACACTGAGAATCCATATATTCAAAGATTGAGTGGAGACTTGAAAGTATAAGATATTTTTCTGCACCAGGTCCGAGCCCTCGACCCATACACTACAATCCATACATTTCAATTACACGATGTCCACTACGTAAGTGATCCCAGGGGCACGGTGCAAGACTTTATTTATATTTGTTTGCAAATGTTCATCGTTCGAGTTTTCAATAAAACACATTAAATAAAACTCTTTTTTCTTAGCAGAATAAACTCTAAATAAAGAAAAAAATCAAAGTTATTGATGAATTACAAAAACTCGATTCCACTTAATATTGATATTAAAACGCTTTAGTTTGTTTGTTGTATAAAATAATGATCCTAATAACCATGTAAATCATTACAAATAGCAACAAAAAACATAAGAAATTGTGTTTACAAACTTGGATTTCAATATGTCACATGTCATAGTGACTTCCAAATATTTACAAATAGGTGTACTTGAACTATTTTTAGAGTGTTGTTTTAAGATGCCCTTTCTCTCCCAAAATATATATTATAATTAATATTCTAAGATTTGGGTTGTTATTCAGATGGACAACGGCAGATCTATTCAAAAAGTAGTTTTCCAAATTTCGAACTTTATTTACTTTATTTTGGCGTGATCCAAGTCATTCCATGCTATGCATTTTTTTTCAAAACAGTCCATACCACATTCAGAAAATCAGGTCTCTTGAAACGTTTCTTTTAAATATATCCACTTTTATTGACTATAAGTGGTATACAAAACCATTCCCTTATATATTATATCTAAAATAATAAATGACACATTAATTCAAAAGTGACAAGTGTTTTATCTCTAGATGAAAATATTTATGGACCGAGTTTTTTCACTGGACTTCTCATCATATTTCCGATATCGATCATTATGAAATGATGTTGGGCTTCTCATTCATATTTTAGGAGTTTGTGCATTTTTATCCAAGACTTTTAACAACAGAAAGAATTAGATTTCAGATACACACATGTCATTTTTATGGAAAAAGCAAAACTTAACATTCTTGTACATTATGTGCTAAAAAGTGCCTGCGACTTACAAATCAAATGGTCGATTAGTTTTTATATGATTTCTTGGGATAAAACAATATCGAACATTGTCTTCTGGCAGTTGTGTCTTTGATAACAAGTTCAATGTCATTAAAATTATGATTTTTCAATTAAGAACTTAGTTGGCCGTGAAATTATAATCACTATTATACGGGTCATGCATGTATATTTACTAGTAATAGTGGAAAATACTACTAGACAATAATGAAAGTATATAGGGGATACTATTGAGTTTTATTGCAAATTGATTATTATGAGGGTCAAACGTAACAAAGGTTCTGGTTTATTAATTTGATTCCTCTAATTCAAAAATACTGGTAGAGTCAGTTAACTCAGATTAAGTGAGAATTTAAACGATCGGGTCACAACAAACACGATGTAGAAATTTTATACTAAAACAATGAATGAATTTGACAGGTTGAAGTTTAGATTGACAGGTTAAGTTTTTCTCACCGTGTTGGAATCTCGGTTTAGTATCTTGAAACTTGTCCTCATCTTTGGTGTAGTTTCCGAGAATACTGTCCATTGCAAACGACGATCGTTTCGTGCTTTGATGCTGTTTTATTGTACCGCCTGATGGTGAAAGATTCAGACCCTCCATTGTTGAAGTCCTGCGTCTAGTCCCTAACGATTATTTTCATAGACTGAAATTTTGTGTTTTCAATTGAACTCAAATGCTTCAGATGAGTTTCAGCGTTCGTAATTGCTTGTTTAATGTTTCTTTTACTAAGTGGATGCTCCTGTTTTGGCAGCGTCGAGTCAGACTACTTGAATGCGAATGACAACACTTTCTCTTATCAACTTGTTTAAAGCTCCAATAAAGTAATTAACTCAAAACTTGATATATTTTCCTGCATATAGTTCTTAGCATGTTTCTAAAGTATCACACACTTCAGAAACAAACCTCGCGTTCCTGATTGGCCAGGCGTTTAGATAATCAATGACGTCGTTGCATCAATCAACGAATAGGACTTCAGAAATGTAATTAATCATATCAATAGCGAGTTTTCACAACTATATTTAATAATAATGTAAAGGCAATTAGTAAAATATCCCACTTATTGGTGGGTTTCTTCCTCCAATGCGATCACGAGGACCCTTCAAGTAAGCTGGTTAGCGGGCGGAGATCAATATAGTGAAATGATAGTGTTAGCCACACAATAGCTATTTTCACGAAATAATCATTATTTTGGTATTATTAATGTAAAGTTTATAAAATTGGGCTTATGGCTTTGTTTGGCCATTCCCATCGATGGTGTATTTTATTAGGCTTAGTGTCAGCACGCTGGAGTGGCAATGAGATCGAAAAGTTGACCAACTTACTCGCGCACTCCAATTAAATTGACTTTAGATGGATTAGAAATTGATAAGCCTATTACTAGTGAAAGCCAGCAGATTGCTCAAGCTAAATATTTTAGCAGCAAGTTAAGATGTATTTAGAGAACAACCTGGTCTAATTAGAGTTAATGCCATTTTATTGAGGTAAAGTAAATATGGGAAGCAATCTTATTATATATAATGTACTTAGATGATGACGCTCAGATTATGATGTGGTTGTTTTTTTCAATTCAGTTACTTAAACTTATATGGTTCCAACAACCTCAATTGAACGTCGTTTTATTCAACCATAATTAAACAGTTTATAGATGGCCAACTGCGCAAGCAAAATTATTGCATGCATTTGATTAAATGCACAATTTATTTGTCAAAACGTTGGGAAACATTATATTCGCATCAAGTGATGATATACATTTGCTTTGAAGTTTGAGCGTCTGTTTTTCGCATGCGCATCTAATTTTGTGCATGTGTATATGTATTGCCCTTCATATAAAGCTAAGGAGATATAATTATTTAGAGAATATAAAGTTGAGTAAAACTATAAAGATCAATATATATGTACAAAAAAAAGAAATTAATCCAGAGCCATGTTTCTAATTCTACCTGTAGTGTTTCGATTCAAATCCCAGGTTTTTGTCAATTTTGAACACTGATTTGAACTGATCAATATCTAAAATATGGACAACATATAGTGACATAATACTGAACGAAAAAAATGTTACGTATGTGACTTTGTTCGTTACATCATCAATTATCGTGATAATATGAATGATAAAAAAATATTGTAATAATATGAAATTAACACGTAGGTTATTATGAAAATTATATAATCGTATTTTTAAGTATACACTGCTGTGGTATCTATATTTGCCCTCACCCCAAAGCTTGATTTTATTCTTGTTGACGAGCAACATATTTTTGGAGGACATGATAGCCTTTTATTCTTCGAGAGGTAATACTTTATTTTTTGAAAGAAGTGGAAAGATTGTACATGTTTGTTATTTAAAAGATTCCCACCACGAAGATTTCAAAAACTGGATAGCGACGCTTGGCTTATGGATGATTTTGACCGTTGCTTTTGACTGTGATCGACCAGAACTATAGGGACATACAGTTGCAACGATGTTAAATACCAGGCAACCTTTGACCTTTTAAATGACCTTGATCTTTACTCCCTCTATCTAAAAATAAAAAGACACTCAAAATAACAAAATCATAAAATACAAATAAAGTGACATTTGTCCTTGACCTTTAAGATATCATGACCTATCATGAGGTCCAGTTAGTAATTAGTGTATTGTATTGTATTTATTTTATTGTATTGTTTTGTATTGTAAATGTATTTATTGTATTGTTTGTTTTGTATTGTATTGCAATTGTATTGTATGTTTGAAGTCACCTTTTCAAATCCCCCAAATGATATTATCTAAACTGAAATAACGTTAATGTAAAATTATATAACATAACTTATATATCGTTTTATTGTGAATCTTGAAAACAGTATTTAACAAAATTGATTTGTGAATCATTCTTAATCTCATTATACTGATTAGACTAAGGTATAATTTTATGAATTCTTTTTTTTCATTTCTCATTTATTCCATATGTAATATATAAAATAGGGTTTCCGGACAACTCGGACCCAGGACAACTCGGACCCAAGACATCTCGCACCCAAGACAACTCGGACCCAAGACAACTCGGACCACTTTTTGAAATGATGATTTTTATCAATATATATTAGGTTTTAATTATTTTTTAGGTTTATTTTGACATATATTATATATTGTGAATTCATATGTTATGTTAATTTGATGAAATTGTTTAAAATTAACGTTTTGATGAGAGTTAAGAAGTAAGAAATTATTGAAGCTAAAGACCCAAGACAACTTGGACCACTTTTTGAAATGATGGTTTTTATCATTGTATGGGGTTCTATTTTTTTGTTTAATGTTTTTTTATGACATAAATTATATATTGTGAATTGATATATTGTGTTAATTCGATGAATTTGTTTTAAAGTAAATAAACTTTAATTTCAAAAAGTGGCCCGAGTTGTCTTGGGTCTTCAGCTTCAATATTCTCGTACTGGTCTTACTTCATAACTTTCATCAAAAAAGTTAATTGAAAGGTTACCAATTGAAAGATCTTCATCAAATAAATACAATATATAAACTCACAATATGTCTTGCCAAACATTAAAGAAATAATCCCCAGTTACGACAACCAAAAGTATAATTTCAGAAAGTGGTCCGAGTTGTCTTGGGTTTCTAGTTTCAATATCTTCTACTTAATTTTCATCAAATAAGTCAAATTAAAACATTTTTTTATCATATTAATACAAAATATGAATTCACAATATATAATGTATGTATTCATTTTCATAAATGAAAAAATAAAACCTCTCATTATGATAAAAATCATAATTTTAAAAAGTGGTCCGAGTTGTCTTGGGTCCGAGATGTCTTGGGTCCGAGTTGTCCAGGGTCCGAGTTGTCCTGGGTCCGAGTTGTCCAGTTACCAAATACAATACAATATTATTGCCTGCGTTTTTCAACATTGTCGGCAATATACAAATAACATGAGATAACGGAAATACAATAGATTAGGTCCATAATGTAGATGTTGGGAAATGTTAGAGGCCTTTATGAATATTCAAAAACTAATAAATATTAGCGCAGGGTATTACAAAACAGCCGAGCTGAATCATTGCCAACGATATTGACGTTACATAAGCACAATTATTTGACATAAGCACAATTATTTGACATAAGCACAATTATTTGATACAAATATATTATCACGATTTCACTATGCATCTACAACTTTGTTCTAAGCAATGACTCAAAATAGTTTCTATGATTTGTAAATAATTCGTAAACCCATTATTTGAATAGTTCTTAGTGAGTTTAATTCATTGTATCAACACGTCAATTCGGGTACCCTAACAAACAACATTGATTTAAATGAGCATTTTCCCAACGTACTAGGGAAAGAAAATAAGTTAAATATTGTGGTAGGGTGGCTAAAGAAGGTTGGGCAAGGGCCCTCGAAATTCTCGGTCATTTACTTATCCAATTACTCGACTATTTACCACAAATGCTCTTAGTGTCAGTCCGTATTCTGTGGACTCTCGTACTTATTGTCAATTCACTTATAAGAAGGGACAACATTCAATATTTAGCTAACACTTATCTTGGCTTTACACCGGCAAAAATACACCTGTTTAGATCGGACAGATTTGATTGAAATTACACTAATCACATTTGATTGGTTGATATTTATGATCTGGAGAAAATAATTGGACCAAACAATTGAATGTTTTAATGTTTTCATTTAAGGGCTGAATCGGATTTCCGATTGTATTCCGACCATTGCGGATTATACTATATATATTAGGACACCCCAAACTTCCCCGTTCTGCCTTTTTTCTATATTGATTTGTTTTGAGATTAATTTTACATGTCTTTTCATGACATTATACCTTTATATACATGTATATATCATGTATCAATGATCATTTACTTTATTTTTCATTACATCTTTATAAACACATATCATTCTATTAACTAAGTAAAACTAGATCTTTTACACATGTTTTAAAACCTATTTGTGCCAATTTGATAGATATTTCAAAAGATTGAGCCATTTTGGTGAAAAATTCTGCGATTAGTCGCTCTTGGTATTCAAGAGGTTAAACAATCTCGAGAACATTATGTAGATAAAACATGTCTAACGCGTCCACACGTTCACAATCCATCGTATCTAGTGATAGAAAAAGCTAACGTTTCTTAGTTAATGTGGTAAGAGATTATCTTATTGACTTTTTCATTAAAACATTTAGCTTATTATTCGTTAACAAGTCGCATATACAGAATTAATCCGGTTCTACTTGTTTCCTCCATTAGGAAAGCATTAAAACTCCGGGTTATCTGACAGAATTAGAGTTTTATTAAGTACTATTGATAAAATATGCTCCGAGATACCAATGCGGCACTCGATAAAACTCTATAGGGTAACTCTACCAAGATACAGTGTGCTTTCAATTGTGACATCATGCCTTATGAGGTCAACTAATAGGAAATATCTCCCTTTTGACAATTTTCCGGACAAATGTCCTAACGGATCCTTCAAACAATAAAACTGCTCAACACAGGTTATCATTCCCCGCCCCCTTCCACATCCGAATTCACAAACTAGAGAATAATAGGTATATGTAATAATAATAAGGCATATCAATTAATTATTATAGAGCTCGTAAGAAAATTGCAGTTTTAATTGAGTGATAAAAGTCAATATTGTTAAACCGTCTGAATATAATTTCTTATGACTCAAAATTTCCCGACATTTTAACAACAAGTTCAGAAAATCATTCGATAACACCCTATCACTCCAAACTAGTTCTCAACCATTCTTTCTAGTCCGACAAAAATGTCGTATAACGGGCTAAATTTGGGTCTGGTCGGGAAATATGTCTAAAATAATTAGCTTCTTCGTTCACAAACAGTCAATACGTCCATCTCATTCGCAGTTCGTTCAGATCGCACCAT